AGAAAAACCCACAAAGTTACATGAAAGTGATTGCTCATGAAAACTTAATTTCAAATTTAAACTAATGAATTTCCTGTAAAACCTTCAAGTTTAAAACAGCCAAAAGAGCTTGTAAGCAAAAGTACACATATTGATGTGAGATTGGCTTGGTGATACATGTACATGTATGTATTTCAAAGCCAAAAAGTACTGCAGGCTGCAGGGTTCTAGCCAGGCATTCAAAAGCATAACGAGCCAATACACTGTGAAAAAAATTGACACGCTGTCATTCCCCTGATACGCAATCGATACGCTTCTTATTTTCTGGTAAAGAGTTGCTAATATTGAGTTTAAGAAACATTACAATCAGAGATTGGAAAAACTTCTTTGAAATACACTGACGAACAGTTACAAGAATATTGATAAAATGCACCGAAATCGAACGCCCTGGCAGGCTGGTTCGTGTACCCTGACCTTAAACATGTTGAACAACTTTGTACATGTATCTACTCATTTGCAAGTTTTCTACGCACAGTACATGTACAGTACGTCTGAGCATCGAGAAATAAATCTTGGGTCGAGGTACAAGTACATGTATACACATGTACATGTGCACACATGTACATTTGTACATGTATACACATGTATACATGTACATTTCTTGGGTCGAGGTACATATACACTTGTAAACACAAACTTAGAAGTTCCTGAATGTCACCATTCACCTACTGGTATACACAGGACTTTCTGAGATTCTTTTCAGCAATAAGGAAAAGTGCTGTAATACTCATACTCAAGCACCTTTTCCTGTACTCGTACTCATGAAAAGTACTCGCACTCTCAAGAAACCAAATTCCCCATACTCGTACTCAAAGAAAAGTACCCTACTATGAGTACCATGCAGATAGGGAAACATGCATACATGCAGTACACACAGGTGAATTAACTAAAGCCAGTGCCTTTCCAATACCGTAATGTGCCAGTATCTTTGATCCATCATTTTTTTCAATTGATGAAATTTCTCTAGGAACATGTGTGCCTATAGTTATCTGTAAAAATTCCCTTCGTAGGAGCTTCTGACAAACTAATATTGCACTCCATTAATACGATTAGGTAATCACATGTGTAGAAAACTAAACTGCATGCAGCGCTGCACACACTAAACACTATGGTGCCTGTTCTCTTGTGCAACCCTAGTTAAATGTGGATGGGCCCCGTTTTATGCACGCAATGTACATGCTGGTGACGCCAGACCGACACACGGCACCAATCTGCAGCCTACATGTACATGTATGTGCATAGCCATCTTCCCCCTTAGTACCAATTAAGGTTATTTTTACTTGACTAACTTCTCACCCTCCGTGCAATTTAGCCAGCCAGCAGCCAGGCTGTGGAAAGAAACAAGCACTGGGGCTTGTGGAAATAAAATAGTCGCATAATGTGATTAAATGGCGAGTCACCACGGATATATGGCATACAGGATTAAATTTCAATATGAACCGCGCTACTTTGGGACTAACTGGAGCATCTGCCACAACACTGGAACCTCAAGATGGACGAGTATTGTTCAAAGTACATGTACATCATGTACCTGCGATTCTGAACAAAGAAATCCAACTTACATTGTACAATCTTTACTGAGTTTCAGTACATGCATGTGCTCATGCCTGAGCACAAAATTTATACACATATCAACACCCATGCATTAAAGCATCATTAGCAAAATGACTGTAAGAGAACGTCATGATGAAACACATCAAATAAATGCTATTAATACCGGTGTGTGCGTTTTAAAATATAGAATAAGAAAAAAAATGCAAAGTTGATCTTTATTCCGATCCTGTGTTAACATATGTACATCAGTAGACTTTTGCAGTTGCCTTCTGATGTTTCCAGCTGACATTTTTGTGTGCATGAGGGCTGGTAAAGCCAAGAAATCGACGGCATTATGGCAAAGGAGATTTTCATCACGTTACATCATATGTAAAATGTGAAAGGGGAGTACATGTATTGGTATCCCGGTTACTCTACACGTACGTGTAAGCATTTAAAATTCATTCTTGATAAGTATGCGATTTGATGTTTGCAACATCCAGAACGTAGCAGATAATTTAAATGTGTTCATGCTTTCCTAAAGTTGTGTTCTCAAACCTGAGGAAATCCAATCCGCCTTAAGCTAACTGAAGCCAAGATTATCAAACTGAATACCTGTGTACAAAGGCAAGAACACAACTTGTCTTGTGTTCTTCCCATGATTGACAAACACGACACAGAATTAGCAGATCGTTGGAAACTGGTAAATTAAGAGCGATTCCACTGAGAAATTTTATTTGCCCTCCCCAAAGCCTATGCAATCAAAATGTAAATATTACTGTGCCATGTGCATACATGAACATTCTAACTTAGGACAGACCTACATGTACATGTACATATACATGATGCAGGTGCTACATGTAGATCTAATTCAGTTACAATATGCAATGCCAAACATGTTTTTCACAAGCGTCCTACTAATAAACACAGTCAAATCATAAACATCAGAATATGAATAGCTTTTGTGCAGAAAAATGGCAGACTCCATGAAAACATCATCAGCCCCACCTCCCAGCATACTTTCATTTCCCGAAATTCTTATTCATTTGACTCTGAAGGGCCAACTCCACTTAAATCATTCTAAAGTGACAGCCCTTTACTTAGTCCTTTGAAGGTCATCTAAAAAAATAAATGGCAACGTGTTTACTGGGAAAGGGAACCAAGCACATCTCTGAATGATCGAGAGCAGGAGTTTTTCTCTGTGGATTCATTGGGATACTTCCCTTAGAGGTACATGTACAGCATGCCTGCTACAGTGGGAAATAATCTGATGAGTGTATTTAAAATGATCATACATGTACATGCACTTTATTTTTAACTGTGTGTACAATACATTTACTTATAAAAAAAAAGTCGAACAGAACAGAAACAATGAAATCTTTACACGTAATCTCTTTGCACATAAACAGAGTGTACACTGTTTCACAATGCCTGCAACTCTACCAGTAGCTTCATGACAATCTGTGAATATAATACAGAAACTGAAACCTCCTTATTACAAGCATTGAAATGATCATTTCATTTCACACCTGTAAGTTATCAGTTGCATATGCAATGTATTGGATACAAGCCTACAACCAACCTTTTTGTACATAACCGGTACATTTACATGTATGTACATGTACCAGTATACAGGTACATGTACATGTCCACAAAGTCACAACCTAATGTGACCTTTGTATCTGGGAGATGTACATGTACATGTACAGTTTGTACACATTTCCACCAGAACTACATGTAAATGAGTACATGTCAATTACATGTATACAGACTTAAATGTACACGTATGTACATGTACATGTACCAGTACACTGCATCTTCATAAAACAAGATTGTGAATTCAACATGTTCAGTGTGAAAAATAGTACCCCATCAAGTTACGGGGCTCTACCAGTATTCTCTACATCATGGTGAAGAAGTACAAAGGCATTTGAACACGAACATGTACGGACGACATACATGTATACATGTACATGTACATATACACAGGAACTGATGGACTACTCAAAATAAACAAGTATGCTTCCACGTATGTGCAAGCATGCATACGTACTTATCATAAAATGCAATGTTCCCTGTGATTGTGATCATAATATCCACAACAAACTGGTTGACTGTCTGCTCTTTCAATGCTTGCCTTTGTGATACCAACGTCAGGCCCACATTTTGGTCACATAATTAAACAGCAAAATAAATACAGAATCACAATCAAATTGTTTATGATCCAGAGATGTACCAAATTGCAGCCATGGATACACATTTATGCGCACCAAGCAACAATTCAGCATTCTTCTCTTTGGAATGTTAAAGAGCGTGGATCAGAAGCAACACGGGCCCAGACATGGATCCCGAGGTATTGCCAAGCCCATATACCGGTCCTCCAAATATGAACCCAAAAAAAAGGGACAAACTCAGAGCAAACAGTGCAAAGGTTAAACAGCGGAACTGACACAACCACACTGGCTGTTAATGGGTCCGTGTATTAGCATGTGGGAGCAAGTTCCAAGTGGGGGGGGGAATTGGATTATTTGCGGCTCAATGCAAAATGGGATGTTCTTGGTAATTTTAAGTAAGCTTACCTCGTACACAGCAGCTGTATCAAGGATACAAGCACATGCGTAACAGCAATCAAAGTTTAAATCACCTGTGCGTGTACGTGACTACGTGTGCACAGTGAACAAGGTTTGATCTCTGACTTCACAGTTTATTCTGATGACCTCAACTCGAGCACGTTTGTGGTATAAATGTGAGGACGTGCAATGTCCTCACATGAGATCACACTGGTTATAAGACCGTACTGGTAACTACAGTATGTGCACTGGCCTTGCCCCAAAAAGAACCCATACACACACGTTGTGTGATCAAACAGTGACATTTGAATGACAGGCCCCCACTTCAAAAGTCACAAGGACTGACGTGCCTCATTGTTCTCAGACTTTTTTCTTGAGGAGGCACCAAGGCCCTGTTTGGACTAATTTGAATGCCCAACTCTACTAAATTATTTGTTTCCTGCAATTTGGTGCATGCCTTGGGGTATATTCGAGTCGCATTGTATGCATGTTCAAGCCGTTCAAGGGGACTACCTGTACATGTGTTGCAAAGACACATGGAAGTCCCCACAAGTTGGGCCAAGTTTTCATTTAATGTTGTGCATATACATGTACAGTCAATACAGTTTCACATGATGGCTTATCAATCATGTTTTGAAGTACTGGTACATACATGAAGGAATATCAAAAATTCAAAATACAATTTGCTTAATTACACAATGTAATAGTCAATATTTCTTCACTCCAAAACCATCAATCTTACAGGACTGGTCTATTGGGTAGTTGCTCTTCAAATTATGCTTGTGGAAGGCAGTACCTAAAATCAAAAAGTCGATGCATGTGTACCAAAGCCTTGAATTTTCAACTGTCTTTACTCACCATATTCCAAGAAATCAGAGACGGATTTCTCCCGCCGGAGCGTGGAATTGTGACATTCGTTGTACAGAAGTAGGAACACGTCCAGCAGTGTTTCAATGCTAACAGCCTCCCCACAGCTTTCCTGCACACCGCTAAGATACAACTTCTCCAGGGCTTTCAAACGGTGCTCAGCATTGGACGTCATGGCGACGGTCTAATTTCAGCCTCTCTGAAAAGGCTTGCTTTAAGTGCATAGGTGTTGGTTTCTTTTCTTTTTTTTTTCTTTCTCTCTCTCTCTACTCAGCGTTGTGGGGGGATGAGCCATCTACATCTGCATGAGTCTTTGGCATGTTCATTCAACTGCTAACAAAGAGTGGGTGCTGGCTGCTAACACCTCAGGAAGAGTTGACGTTACACAACATGTAAATCTGTTTTCTTCTTAAACAGCGTAATTGTTGTCCCCTACGTACACTGTATGTTCGTGAGAAACATACATTCCATGCTTCATGTGACTTCAATGTGTTTGACTGTTGTGTCATACATCTGAAATTGCATTAAAAGATGATTATGAAAAAATACACTTACGCATATAAGAAATCCAAAGCAAACCCCATATCCTGAAGTCCTTGTGTTTTATTGGGTGAATGTACTAATAAGCCAGTTTGGTATTCAACCAGCGCAAGCCCAATACGAAGCATGTCCGAGGGTAATTGGACACGTGTACAGGGTCTGCCCCCTCAGTGTTGCCTTAAGCGGACTCACAGGCGTGCCTTTTTCTCCCTAATGACCTTGCTTTCTTGAAATACTGAACAGGCTCATTGCATACAGACCCCTTGCGTTAAGGCGGAGTCAGAGGCTATTCATGGAACAGCGTTTGAGACGATGAGGGGTCAAGTGACGTAATGCTCAACGACCTTATTTTAAAGATGGCGACTGTGAGAGTGGGCCCGTAAGATTGAATGAATGAAGGAAAAAAGACTGCAAAATACCTGAATAACGTGAGTGAATTCATTCAATAAATGGTATTTAGAAAACGGAAAGGTCAAGAATCATGTTAGTGTGCAAAAGAAATTGCGCCCACGATTATAAGTTGGTGCGCCAAAAATGTTCATTTCGCCGACACGAAATTGCTCATACGGATGTGTGGCTAAGGATAAATCGGGAGTGAGAGTCCGTGCCACACTAGTGGGGCTAGTTCTTTTCGCCCTGTGAACAAGATGGGCCATATTACCATGATTACCGTGAAGCTGCTTATGAACCCTAACAATGCTGAACCCAACAGAATCCAACAAAGAATTCTTGCTCTTGTACATGTGCGTAGAGTTCATCATGCTACATGCATCACGTCTGTTGGATGTCATTGGGTTCAGCAGTGCATAGGCAGAATTAGGGTAGAAGGTTATGGTTAATGAGTGACTAGCTAATGGCAAAAGTAGCACACCAATTAGTTAAATTTACAATAAATCATTTAAAAAATACAGGCTTTTTGCCTGTCAATTAACACCGTCACTGTAGCCATCAAGGTCTGTACACTGTTACAGGTATGTGACAGCAATGACAAATTGGCAGGACAGAATGCAGGTATATGGATCAGGCAACTCCAAGGTGAACAACGTAACAGTTGACAAAGCTGGACATGTTTAACAACATGCTCAGCGCAATCTGTACTCTTGCGCAACTTTATTGTAGGCCTAGGCCTACTCCCTCCTGAATTGAATGTCCTATAATGGTATGAATGGATTTCATTCAAAAGGCAAATCAACTAAACAATTTCCACTGACTCTGACTGAGTACATCGTTAATTTGTGCAAGATTCAAAAGTGCACAGAACAGACATGTTGGATGTCATGATGGCTGGCCACATCAGTGTACAATGAGCAAAGATTTTTTTTAACAAGAAGATTATTTTTATTAACTATTAAGGAAATGTTACAGAAAAACAAACAGGAATGCTGATGTAGATAACGTGACGTGAGAAGTGCACATCGACAATAAAACCGATGACGGTCAACCACTCAGCGACCATGTCAACTGGCTCACTTATTTGCTTATGGCTACACCGTCATGACCGTACGTTACACGATGTAGGCCTAGGCCTACATAAAATTACTGCATAGGCCTACATCAGTACATGTCCATTGACAATTACTCCCTTCCGTAACACACCTAGACTACAAATCAACCGATTTCGCAATCATACAGATTAACTATATTTATGAATACTAAACTTTCTGTTTTGTTTTCATAAATTTTAGTCTTAACCTATTCAAAAACATTTACCTCGAAAGTTTCGCCCGGTAGCCTACATCAGTTTTTAACACTTCCGACAGTGCTCAGTAAGATGGCTGTTCATCATATGCGAAGAGCAACTGAGTATCGATACGAGGCGTTGCAATTCGATATTCGATCTGACCACCATGAGAATATACCCAGGTGGTACCCATCACTGTTTTATGTGCCAACATTGTCATGATTGTGGTTTCTGCTTTTTTTTTCTCTTATTTGGTTCACAAGTAACATATTTGTAGGACCAAACCCTATGAGGGGGGGAACAAGTTCAACATCTTTTTGGCTGTGAAAACTGAACATACTGGTTGGATTTGATTTTTTTAGCAGTTTCTCCTCTCTCACTATGCTCTGACATTCTGTACAGAACATTTAGAAAAGTATCCTGAATTAAAAAACATTTGGGGGGAAACTTTATTTATCAAAAAAGGGTCTTTTTACTAGGAGGAGAGACAAAACTCCTGGTCATACCAGTCGTCGATTGTGAGATTTCCTCCTGCATGTAATGTCAGGAAATCTTAGTCTATGCCAAAATATGATAAAACTTAATAATCTTTTCCTTTGTTGATAAATTCAGTTTTTAAGGCACAAACAACTTACTAAGCGCAGCAAGCAGCAGCAACCCTACATGCACACATACATGTACATGTACAGTACACTGAACATGTACTGTACATGTACACTCCGTCTGTGAATTTCTCGATACCATTTTTCAAACTCTACTATTCGCAGTATTCGGCAATTTCGAGCTTTTGCTGCTGTACGCTATGCATCCTGGGAAAATTCTCTAGCGCAGCTTTTTGGATATGCAGATGTCAAACAGAATGTGCATGCGCAAATAAATTCTTCCTGTTGACGTAATGGCTGGTGCGGCTAATAACATGCATATGCATGTTATTGCACGAGTTCAAGAATTGGTGAATGTGTTTTTTCCCTTCTAACTTAATTTTCTCTGACATATTCGTATTTTTGAGATACCATATACAGTACAATATACATCATAAAGCCTTAGTACTAAGGCTTTATAAGGGTTACACTTAAGCTATTCTTATAAGCCTTAAACTTTACATTTTTTTTTCATACAAGGAGAAATCTGTCAAAACTTTTATTACCGGAACTGAAACATTAACTGATTTTTCGTTGTTCACCATTCCACCGTAAAAAAAATCTGTATATGCATATGCCCTTCAACTGACCATTTACTGATCGATCGTGCTTCAATCAGTTGGTGGATTGGGAAATTATTTCTCACATTGTATTGATACGTTTGTAGCTTGTGTACTTTTTTTTTATTCAAAGATGCTTCCACCTATTTTTTTAATGGAGGCAAATTTATGTACTTTTGTTATTGGTGTAGATGCATTTGGATGTTTTGACTTCTTAAACGTTAGAGGAATTGCTATTTATATGGAAATAGGATACAATGAAACAAATGTTGGGTCATATCTTAACTTTACATATTTCATCAAGTTGTTATAATGCTATAGTTCCAGGCTGCTAAGCAGAAAATATAGCTCGGTAAATTAACATGCTAAGAAAAAGGAAAACAGCTAAGACCCAGACAAAGATTCATACATGTATTTGTACATGTACATGATGCCGGGGGCTTAATATGTGTGATAATGCGGCTGGTGATCTGTTTTTACGGACGCGTATATAGGTCCTGACTGGAAAAAAGGGGCCTGCTATTTCGCCCAGGCGGATTAGTATTTCGCCGGGCGAAATACTAATCCGCCCGGGCAAAATGGCAGGCCCAATTTTTTTCAGTTATGTTCTATATACGCCTCCGTAGTTTTGCTGTGAAGCAAATGCATTATGCATCAAAACGATTTTCACGTAAAGAAGGTGTATGCGGCTACGGCTGTGCTCCTCAAAACAGACGTAGCCACTTCCTGTGGCTAAAATCACACAAGAGTGTTAAATAGTTTTGAGCCGCAGCCAAATAATTCAGACACTTAAGCCATAGCCATATATGTTCGACGCCATATGGTTGCACTACACCAATACGCGCCCATAGAAACAGAGCAAAAACGGACCGAAATAGCGCCGCCTGTTGACTCTCGTGAAGAGGTTGGCCTCCAATTTTTTTACTGGAAATTCAAGATTATGGCCAGAAGATTACCTTCCGTTTCAATTTCATGGGGGTTAGCCACAAAGATCGTTTTTTATTCACCTTTCGAGGAAGATACCCCAAAACAGCAGTAAAACAAGGTGCTCATTTCTAAATGTAGCCTCCCGCCTCTATCCAAAATAGGCCCGTAATTTGGGGCTTTTTGTGAAAGAAATACCCCAAACTGGAAACCACCAGTCCAAATTCGGGATTTATAGAAATATTTCTATGATGCCTCCTGATCATGGCATGTCTTATTGTAAAAACCCTGTAGGATCACAAAATATTAATGAGCTTGCGCGCAGAAATCCAACCATTTGGTGGAATATACCCTTTAATATCACCTCGGGGCCCGTTTAGCAGTAAAAGTGGATCAAAGCGAAGAAAATCTATCCGAAATAGAGAAACCAATTCTGAAAACTGAATACACTTTCTTATTTTTCTGAAGAAGGATAATACAGCTTGTCTGTTGCCACAGAATGCGGCAGTGTTTTGTGCGCAATGGCAATCTTATTCTGTAAACAAACGGAGAAATCAAACATCCTCTGCAAAACTGCGGGACTCAGAAAAGAAAAACTACCAGAAAGAGGATGAGCAGACGGAATTGTTGATTGAACCTTTCTAATTTCTGTTTCCCCGGCGTCCTGGGGGCAGTTTTTTGGAAGAAAAAATGTGGGGATTTCATGCCCTCTTCTAGTTATTATAGGACAGAATAGTCAATAAGCCCCTCCAAGAGACACGGTGAACATTCCTCTGATCTTTGGCTATAAGCGTTAATGTTTTGACAGCTTCCATAGACAGAACTGTTCATTTTAACCGCCCGTAAATAAAAAGCGCTAAAAAAAGAACAGGGCGCCCGCTTTTGGTCTGTTGCTACAGACGCCGCCATCTTGTCTTTACAGGTTGCACTACACCATGTAGTCGCCTTAAAAAACAGTGCGAAATCGGACCATAATAGCACCGCTTGTTGACTCTTGTGAAGAGGTTGGCGTCTGGTTTTTTTTTTTAATGGAAATTCAAGATTATGGCCAGAAGATCACTTTTCGTTTCAATTTCATGGGGGTTTGCCTTTCGAGGAAGATACCCCAAAACAGCAGTAAAACCATATCAGCCGCCCGCTTCTATCCAGGCCCGCAATTTGGGGCATTTTGTTAAAGAAATACCCCGAACTGGAAACTATCAGTCCAAAAATCGGGATTTATAGGAATATTTTTTGATGCCTCCTGATTATGGCATGTCCTATAGTAAAAAAAATCACACAAAATATTAATGACTCGCGCGCAGAAATACGGGTGAAATGCACCCATATATTTTAGCTTTGGAAGAACAATGGAGGGCGCTATGTACATTTTGTGGTGAGGGCCGGCTAGGGCCGGCCGGCCATGCATATGCGCCAGCGCAGTTGCTTTTGGATGGCCTGCTGCGCTCGCGTAAGTTGCTGGAACCGTTGATTTCCTACTCGACCGCATTATTATTTTGCTTCTCGCCTGTCGCGCGTACAGCGTACACGTGAGGATTAACGATTAGGAAAAACCTAGCCCACAGATGTCATACTTAGTCGGTCTAAAAATATTTGTCCATATAACTGTAAATCAGTAGGACGATTTTGACGTAAATTGTGGCATGCTTATATATAGCCTTGGCCCAGGGGCACGGCATCAATGCAAGTGGTGGGCTAGTAGTATTTGTGAGACCATCAGCATGATCAGGTAGGCTGGAGGTAGGCCTAAAAAGATATTTAGGAACTGCCAAAAGTGGGGATGAATGGTTCTGGGACTCAGTTCAGTCATGGAGGGGTGTATGTTTTATTCCTCCATTTTTCATTTCACATTATTTTCCACATATTATTACTGTATAGAAACAGTTTCACAAAGTGTATCTAGAAATGTGGATGGGGCCCCCAAGAAGCAGTGCTTGTTGAGTGGGGGTCCCCAGTTACGAATTAACAAACTTCCACAATTAAATACAGCACATGTACATGATCATGTAGCCTTGCCCGCTGCAACCCTGTGAGAAAGAAATTAATCATTACTTAAATAGTTAATCAGTAATTTACTTTTATATTTGTGTTTAAATTCTGAGAGACTAGATTCACACCTCAAGGAAAAATCAATGGAACTCCATAACTTGGGACCTGCATGTTTCACAGTAGATGTAGCGAGCTTAGTTCGTGCTAACTAGCGATGAAATTCATCACTTTGCCTCGTAAAATGGTGATGAAACTCTTCATTTCTTAAAAACATTGAGCAAATTGATTGCAGTAGCTGAGAGTTATCGAGTTGAAACATTAAAGAGCCCAACTGGAAAGAGTAGATGTCCGTGATTTTTAGAGTATTACAATTGTAAAAAAAGAAGATTACTTTACTTACAAGAGTTAACATTATTAATTATACATAAGGCCTTTTTCTGTAATTGTAAAATTTTATTAACCCTAACCCCCTAGGGTGTATGTGATATCGTATTGAAATTGGAGGATTTGAGACTGTAAGGGTTAATATGACCGACACCACTATTGCCCCATGCAAGAATTCCATATGAAATGTATGGTAATATAAGGGTGTTGTGTAAAACCATTAATACATCATGGGGAAAGAACCATTTCAGTTTAGAGATCTTACCTATACTTCTCGATATAAATAGTGGCAATGTGATTAACATGCTGCTTCCATGTAAGACCATCAACAATGTATACACCCAAAAATTTGATACAATTCTACATCCACACTGATAACAGGAAGTTCCTGTCACTAAAAAACATGAAACTTTTTCCATTCCTTTGTTAACGGTATCGAAAAGCACATTTATATCAAGGTGGCTGTAAAACAGATTACTATCACCAGCAAATAAAATGAAAGATAGTTTATTATAAGATGCATCAGAAAATACATACATTGAAAATAATAAAGGTCCTAAAATGGAACCCTGTGGTATGCCATAGAATATACATGTATTACAAGGAAGAGATTGGGTACCAGGAACAGATACAAATTGCTGACGGTTAGACAGGTAGCTTCTGAACCATTCCAAGGCCACTCCTCTGATTGGGTACCAGGAACAGATACAAATTGCTGACGGTTAGACAGGTAGCTTCTGAACCATTCCAAGGCCACTCCTCTGATTGGGTACCAGGAACAGATACAAATTGCTGACGGTTAGACAGGTAGCTTCTGAACCATTCCAAGGCCACTCCTCTGATTGGGTACCAGGAACAGATACAAATTGCTGATGGTTAGACAGGTAGCCTCTGAACCATTCCAAGGCCGCTCCTCTGATTCCACAATACTCCAGTTTAAACAAAAGTATGTCCTGATCAACTGTGTCAAAGGCCTTGGAGAGGTCCAGAAAAATACCAATTGTTGCTGAAGAATCATCTAAATCAGTAGATATTTTATCAATAATTTGAATAATAGCATGTGTAGTTGAATGATTTGCATGAAATCCATTCTGGTCATTAGATAATCTAAGAATTGCATAGTGTGTTTGTAAACAGCTCATTTGATGATTTTAGAAAATGAAGTAAGTACAGAAATTGGTCAGTAATTTCTGACAAAAGTGGGATCACCGGTTTTAAAAATCAGGGTGATCCTAGCAATCTCCATGCCATCAGGTACTACGCCAGTAGAGATAGAAGTATTTATGACAAAGCAAAGAGATTGCACGGATCACCTGTTTAATCAATGAGCTATTAATCAGATCAAAACCTGCACTCGTTTTGTTAGGTAAATTACTGACAATATCAAGAACTTCAATTTCTGTGACAGGAGAGAGGAATAGGGAATTGGGGTTAAAATTATTGGAGTCAATAGCATTTGAGAGTTTTGGCCGATAGTGGTAAAATAATTATTGACATGATTTGCAATAAATTCTGCTGTGTTAAAAGAGGTGATTTGTAGAGTCCTAGTTGGTCGAACTATGATGACATTCATGGTCGTGATAGTCATGTTTGTTCATCGGGTTGTTGTGACTTTGTTAGTGTTGGCGCCATACCAGTGAGCACTAATAGACGGACCTCAAGATGGAAAAACATGCAAAACAGCAGCAGGCCCCATGACCATGATATGCATGTACTCATGGAGGCTAGCCATAAATGATGTGCTCAACATTATACAACAAATTGCCTTAAGCAGTTGTCTGAGTAGTCCAGCCATGTCTAAATGTTAAAAAAGGTCATTCGTAGAGTCCAAGTTACTCGGACTTTGCGAGCAATGGACTTTGTCCAGTCATGCCAGTTGATACAAACTCCATATTTTATGCCTCAGCTTAATTTATTTGTTCAAATTCAAAGATTTGTACAGGTAATGACTATTATTATAAAATTCTGCAGAACCCAAGAGGACCAGTGAGTGGATGGACCTGATCATAGACCAAATCTGTGAGTGAGAATAGAGATGGCATCATCCTCGTCGTCTGCAACCTCGCAGGAGGTCTTATCCCAGGAGGCATTGCTCGTAGCCCTGTCGGATCGCGTCACCAAAGCTGAGGAGTACAAAGCCAAGGGCAATGCACTGTACAATGCCAAGGACATTCGTGGGGCCATTGGGAAGTACCACCGGGCCTTGCTTTTCATCCGGGGCCTAGACGCGACCCTCCAGAACAACAGTTTGCAGTACCAACTGGGGCTGGGTTTTGGAGGGGTTCTGGAAGGACTCTGTGGAGCAGGAGGGGCCTCCAGCCTGACCAGCCTGCCAGAAGAGATGCAGAAAAAGGTGTCTACCATCGAGGAAGGGTGCCTCAACAATTTAGCAGGTAATGATTTCCATTCAGTGCCTGTTGGTCAGAAACAGCTGTGAAATCCTTCAAAATCCTTCACAATGCAGAAATCATTGGTACATTCTTTGGAGTTCAGCTTCCAAGGGATGCCAAGTCCCCTGTTAAGTATTAATGGCTCGGGTGTCTCCCCCATACTACAATATTGGTCAAACTTTTCCAGTGAACATGCCAAGGATTTAAGAGAGGAACAGGTGAACCAAACCATTCACACACTTATATTACGGGTTAGGTAAGATTGGTCAATGACTGTGCTGTCAGTCAATAGTGCAGCATCTGTCAATCCCTTTGCTGTCAGCCGAGCTCTTTTACTTACCAATGGACTGTTTGTTAGGGAAGATTGTTCGGAAAAACGGAAATGAAGTATATGATTTCCTTCAGGATCCACTGATGGCCAAGATATCAACAGACCGACTGATCCCACCCATCACTGTACCTACAATTTAAGTATTCTCCATGTCCTGAATCCCTTCCCTTTTACCCAGCCTGCATTCTCCTCCAGGAGGAGCCAAACTACAAGAGGGTAGTCTCATACTGTGACAGGGTACTAGCCTCCAGCCCAGAGAATCCCAAAGCCCTGTATCGCAAGGGCTGTTCCCTCTACCACCTGAGCTGCTACGAGGAAGCATACGACTGCCTGAAAAAAGCACAACATATCTCAAAATCTGGTATGCAACATGCGTTGAAGTTTGTATGTAAGGAAACATTGTAGAGGAGTGCAGTGTTGGAAGATTGAAAAGAATGGGAATGTAAGTCACATCTGAATTGAGATGAAAACATCAACTGAAAACTGGTTGAAGAAGAGCTGGTTTTTAGCTGCCTAATGCCAACTTAAAACAAACATTTCTGGGGAGAAATGGTCTTTAAGATGAATGTAGTAGTATTTGGTCACCATATTGTGATTCTCCAGCATTTGCCTTCCCTAGCATTGTCAATTTGTTTCCCCTTACAGATGGAAATATTCGAAAGTACCTGACCATGACCAAGGACAAAATGGCAGACATCGACAACGCACAGCGGTCCATGTATCAGGGAATGTTCGACAAATCATCAACGCAATCTGATGGCTGATTCAATTGAATTTCTGGTTGAGTGGGATGCTCACTTATAAAACAAAATCCAAATGACTCTCTGTACAAAGTTATTTAGCGGGATGTAGCATTATGGCTATTTTGTGGGAGATGTTTCATGCCCAGTATGCAGAAATTATGATAAAATGTTCAACGGGAGCTCAAATTGTACGTGTAGAAAGACAAGCCACGCTTTACGCTTTAGACATGCTTAGGACATGCATTAAGTAGAGAAAGAAGGTTGGAAATGATGTGAAGAGCACATCTCTTTCTCCTGTTTTTCTAAATTAAAAAAAACTGTTTTGAGAAAGTGCTGCATATGTGAATAATTTGTCTATGTGTGGGCATTGCATCTTTTTCCACCAAGTATGTTGCTTGTCTTCATGTTTTTTGTAATTATTATTACTTATCAAATGTACATGCATTCAGTACATTAAAAGTTTTACAAAATGACTTTTACCCAGGAAAATATTGTGTGCAACTTTTTTCTCCAATTCCAGTGGTTGAAAACTATTGTGGATCCTTTTTTGGCTAATAACATGTACTATGAAAGTGCTTTTTAAGAATTTATTTGTTTTTTGATCGTCCGTTTGTTTCTGACAAATTAAGATGCTTTTGTGATCTCTCCTCGGGAAGATGCTATTTTTATGAGGTTTGGGGGTTCCAATGATGAACCCTAAATGTACTCTTTGAATTTTTTTGCAGAAAACGTTGCTCTCTAGCTTTTCGCAATTGTGGTAAAAAAAAATAACATTTAAGACTGCAATTTTTCAGATTTCGGGCTTTTTGTGCGTATAACAGCTGAGGTTTTTTCCCGGAATGACAGCAGGCTGATTCTCATATCATTAACATAAACGCATTGCTCTTAAAAGTGCCAACATAAAAACAGCAGCAATTTTTTTTTCTAAATACACAAGAACTGAAGATTATATATCTTTTACTAACAAACTTAGAAAAAAAATTATCTAGTAAAACCGAAGTTGAAAAAAATATGCTTCAAAAAACGAATTTGGGGAAAAATGTACGTCCCTTTTGAAAATATATTCTTGATGACACTACAAGGCTTTCATAGTATCGAACGTCGATTGCTTAATAGAAATTGCTGCGTCGTCAGTTCCGAAGTTTATTTTTGTCTAAATGTGTGCTGTAGTTTACGTGTCATTTCTTGCTCGTAGCAGAAGCTCCTTTTCTTGGATTTGCCCGTAAATGTCACTAATTATTTTTTAAACGTTGTACCAGTATCCGGTTCTTGGAATGTGAATTGATTTTGTAGAACACGAATGTGTCTATTCTGAAGATCGCCCCGAGCACTAATTATGTCCACAAAGAATTTAGACTCTTAGATCCTTACCCGTTAATACGCTCTAGAAATTATGATGGTTCGCACGTAAGACACGCTGTGGACACATCTTGGACATCTCAGAAGATGCAAGGGTAAATAACGCCACTCACGGCGGTACTCTGTGCAACAAACGTCCTTGTCAGTGGCGTGGGAGGGGGATGCAAGGGCCCCTGCTTGAGGCCTGTACACCCCCCCCCAAAAAAAAAATAGAGGAGGAAAAAGTCTGGCAAAAGTCCGCATTGGTTAGTGCTTCTACTGTAATCGAATACATGTACATTGAATGCCCTCTCCAGAAAATGAGGGCCCCAAGGTCCCGGAACATATACCCCATTTACGCCATTGCTTGCAGTGCATCAAAATGGCAGGACTCATTGGTATCGGATGAGATGCCTGAAGGGCCGAGAGCTTTTTCCAGAAGTGTCTATTTATCTCGTCCTCCAGTGTTACACGTTCCCAACCAACTGCCCCACAAAAATGTTCGAATTTATTTGAAACCTGATTCGTATTTGCGAAAAGATGGTTAACATTACGGAAAGGAACAAATCAGGCAATGGTTTCACTATATAGCGCCCTCTGTCAGTCGTCGGAGACGAGAGGAGTGCCGCTATCAAAGTTGTCGTAGAGGTCGAAGAGCGTGGTCAATGTCGTGTCGTTGACATATCGTTATGTAGCAATAGCCCCCTTCACCCTCGGCAGGGCACAACACATACATGTATATGGTGTCAAACAGATGTATCAGGAGTGGATCCAGGATTTTCCCGAGGGGGAAATCATACATGTTACCCCCACGATTTACAAGTTTGGTGGAGTGGAGTTCGGCCGCCTATGGCTAAGAAAATAAGGGAAACTGTTCTGTGCAAGCAAGGTTCAAGAATAACTGGTCGATATTAGCCTTTTGCCGGGGGGGGTGTCAGGATTATTCTACGAAGATTGTTGCAGTGAATTAGATTTTTAAAGAAGGGAGGGGTGAGATTTATTATCAGCATCAACAGAGCCAATCCCCACTCTGTTATTACTGTTTTATGTTATACAGCTTCATGGACGAGCTGTCTGTTTGCTGACGTATTTAAGCAGTTTTTCCAGGGGGTGGGCATGACCGAAAGTAGCAAATGCCCCGCTAGCGCGTTGCACGAAGCATGCACTTACGGCATGGGGTCTGGGGCACTTTTGGATTCTGGGCGCTTTGTGGTGTAATTTTAGGCAGTATGGTCACTCTCTTTTTCTTCCCCCTCTCTATTTTTGTTCTTAAAAAAATGGGGGGGGGGGTGTCGCGCGCCCCCCACGCCCCCTGGATCAGCTCCTGTGTATGTCTGTGTGTGTATGTGAGGGTTAACGATTTCAAGAGGATGGTCCAACTGTGCGATTATTTGGAGTCCCTCCGAACAAATACATGTATTAAAAAAAAAGACCTATCGACATGGTTATTCAAGTTATCCCGTGTTATTCTTTTTTTTCCCTATTACTTCTGCAATGCAATGATCGATCGAACTAGGCTTAATTGAACAAACACCCCCAAAACCTCATAGTCCGGATTTCCTCTCTGAGAAGACAGTGACAAATGAAACCGAAAACAGATACGATAACTTTACGATTGTTTTTAAAATGAGTTGCTTGGAATACTTATAACTACTGGACAGCAAAAGAAACTTGCCACTTCTGTCAAAGGCCACACATAGAAATGCATAGAAATAAACAATTTTTGTACAATAAGCTGCAATACTCCTTACTAATCACATGCCCAAGGCAAGTGATTATCTTTATAACTAAGAAGAAATTGACATGCACAGCAACTTGGTTACTGAATCAAAAGTCACACACAAAAGCACTCTCCACCAAACAAAAATGACCCATAAATGGACAACATTTTAAATAACCAATGACAAAGTGAACACCTGTTGTGTCAAAATGATGCACATGAGTGGTTTCTGTACAGGGATGCCATCCTTACTGACTATGCATACATTATTGAAAAGTAATGATTGTGACTTCTTTATCTCGTCCTGTGACATTGATTTCTGTTACAATCTGTGACTTTTGATTCAGTAACCAAGGTGCTGTGTATGTCAATTTCTTCTTTGTTATAAAGATAATCACTTGCTTTTGGGCATGTGATTAGTAAGGGGGTATTGCAGCATACCAGTGTACAAAAATTGTTTATTTCTATGGAGTGAATTTTCATGTGTGGCCTTTGACAGAAGTGGCAAGTTTCTTTTGCGGTCAAGTGTATTTTCTCAAAGCTCAAACAACAGAAGTCATAACCCATACACAGTGAAATTATGAGTCATGAATCCCGCGAGAACCTTTGCAAGAGAGCTTGCGGAAAGAGTCGCCATGACGTCTGTCAATCTTTCACAATCACGGTGTACACCCTTATCGAAACCAAATAATTTGTGGGATGTCATGTATAACGTCATTACCGGTTTAGTTTTCCCGAAAACAAAGCGACCCCCACTGCACGTAGTTACACTTCTGCGGTTATTCACTACACCACGTGTTACCATCATCGAATTAAACTTTGTCTTGCCGAGAAATAAAACAGGGGGTACTTCGAGTTAACTGAGACTGAAATTATTGTGTTGTTTCAAAGATAAGTCTTTAATTGTATACTAAGAAAAATTGTTTTAAAAAACTCTTAACGTGTTTGATTATATTTATTTAGAAATTTTAGTGCTACTTTTAAAATTCAAGGAAATGCTAGTGCCAATTTCCGGAATTTTGGCAGAATTTCAGGCGTGAAATATTTTAATACTTCCACAAATTGCCTACTTGAATTCTGCAGGGAGAGGGATGAACTGCTATAAATTTTGTGTTTTGAGGGATCCACTCCTAAACCTTGTGGGAAATTTCAGACTGCAAAGAAAAAATAAACATGGCTGGATCTGTTGCACTATAACAACCAAAGTTCGTTGTTGCTTTTACTGCCAACTAAGTGGAATGGTAATATGAAATCCACGTGTCCGATAATAAATAATGACAGTCATTCATATTCATCGCCATGCTGTGTTATGCAGAGTCGGATGTCTACCGCTGTACGGTTTTTGTACAGCCACAGAGCTACGGACGGCATTTTGCAAGCAGACTGCCAGTGCATTGCTATGCCGCGACGCATCAAATTGATTTCGGAAGTGACGTCACGAGGACTGGAATCATTCATAAAAATATTACAAGCGCACGCACTGCGCCACTCCTGTGGTCCAGCCTGACCGATCGAAATGGGGTCTTGTTTGTTCCGAATGGTCCAGTCGTATAAGTTTGTAATTAAGTCAGAGTTAATGATTTGTAAGTTGTGAAGTGAAATTCTTGCATTGAACAGGAGAATAAAATAAATTAGCTGATAAAAAGACATGAATTGAAAATGAGGTGACTTTTAACAGAGCCGATTAAAAAAGCCAACGTCAATTATGGTTATTACAGTTAGTATAATTCTTTAGAAAACGGGGTGTATCGACGTACCATGAATAACGAGGTGCCCCACTGAAAGTATGTTCGATGTCCCTGTGCCAAAGTTGCTTTTGCTAATTGTCATGCCCGTTTCTGCATGTGGTGTTTTCATTAGCCCTTATTTTCTGCATGTTTTCTGGGCTAAATCAGCCTGGTGTATTTGCGGGTTTGAAAGTAATCCCTAAATATTTCTATGAAATCGAGAATCAGTAAGATCAAGCGAACAGATGGACTCATTAGTAGACTCAAAATATAACTTAAACGGCGTGGTTAGGTTTCCTCAGTCTACACATGGGGTAGACCTGATTTGTTGCTTTCGACATTAACACTGCACTTGTACTCCTATGTGTACATGTACGTTTACATCTGCAATACACTGCGTACTGGTGCTGCTAGTAACCGGGCCTACGTTACACCGAGTGTACATGTACATGTAGATTTACATGACTGTACATGTACTGTATGCTCGGTGCAACCTATGCCAACCTACGGCAAGCTAGGCTAGACAGAGTACAAAAATACTGTCTATATGGTACACAACATATAAATAGGTGCAGTGTTTAGTTTGGCTCAACCCCTGAGTCGACCCCGAGGCGTTGGGGTCAAAGCAAACATCCACTCTTTTTTTCTCCCCTTCAATTTCCCAACAGTGATTTGACTGCGCTGGCTGATCGTTCATGTAGATATGTGTACTGAACTAGGCCGGTGAATCGAATCGGAAAGCCGATATTCTACAAGGCCACAAAGAGGAAATGATTTGCATATGAAAAAGGTGACATTGGAAGGGACTCGTTAAGGAAGTTGATCCGCTAGTTAATGAACCTACTGTCAAAAAGTGGTCCAAATTGACTTGTGAAATGAGTTTTGTTGACTTCCAGGACGTTTTGATCGGAAAGGAAAACAGTGAAAAGTGATAAATTCAGGTGTGACGTTTGGTGGGAAGTGGATGTTGGAACTACTTTATTACTCCGCAACATCCTCTACGTGCGTGATGAGGAGATCATTTCCTCATGTGTGAATCACCCCGCTTATCCATGCATGGAGTTGATGATAATGTCGGGGCACGAAAATCATGGCTGTAGTCCCCCGAACTCGAGAAAAATGTCCCAAATAACTCGACATGATCGGAATAAGTAGCGTGGAGGATAACGAGGAAGATGGAGGAGAAACGTGTAGACGAGTGAGTATTCGGTGTGGATACAGAACTTGGAGAATTAGACCTTAAAACCATGTCGAAAGTAGGGGGTCAGTCGTGGGTCCAGAATGTGGCAGGAAAGTAACATAAGTTGGTGCATACGGGTTACAGTGTGCTTACCGTACCTGCATGACCAGTGATGACAGTCAGACAGTGCTCACATGGATGGAAACCTGAGGCATGTGCCCCCAATGTTGAATGGCGGTAACAGTTTTAACACTGCTTACATGGCCTACAGACTTGAATATTACTCATCATAAAAAAATGAGATTCAAGAGTACAGAATTTAAGACTTTAATATTGGGGTTGTCATTAAGAGTCATGATCATGATGGTATTTCCGAAGGCCTAAACAGTTTCAGTTCGGATCAGTCATGTCAGTCATATGTCATTGTACATGCTGTGTGTATTAGGAATGGGGGAAAAAGTTGGGTTGAAATATGTATATAAAACCAGAGTGTTAACTTGTCAGTCTTTGCACGGAGAGAATTTGACACTGTCCTGGGTGTTGATTAAATTATAATCCATGTGCATGCTTGCAGGACATTCAAGATCAGATGGAATGAGTAGTAGGCCTAAAAATGTATTCAAAATGCAATGCACATGTACAACGTAAGCGAACGTCAGCACGTCTTTTGAATAAGATGCACACATACCGTACAGAGCAGTGGCACATGTTTATTTACAGTCATACTGATAGGCAGCTGATTATTTGAATATGTTTAAAATGAATGTTTTCGTAATATTTGAGTAAGGCTGTCCGATTTCGTATGCATGTCTTTCAATGGCTGTCTTGATGGATATGAATAAGTTCAGCTAAATTAAAAAGTCATTCCCTTAATTCAGTCAGCGTAAAGTGAGTTGACTGCTTTGGAGCAGCTGCAGCGGGTACCGATAAAATCCATTTTAAAAAGTCACGGCAAAATGAATGTGCAGTGATACTCGCATGCATTTGCGGGTTTTTTGGGTGTAGAGCAAAATGAAAAAGTCATGTACTGATCATGAATTCAGGTTAATTGCGTATTGGCTTTGTTGATGTATCATTTTAGAAATACAGACGCAGATATATAGCCATACAAAAGCCGTGCAACATTTGGAGTTTTCTATAGTTTTGTGCACTTTTGGATGCACCCATCAGGCATAACTTTGTACACGAGTCAGTGCTTTAAAGCTTTGTGAGTTTCAATGACTTTTTGGGTGCATGCTGTCAGTAGGTCTGCTTGGGTTACATACAGTAATACTCACCAACAGATAGTGACCACATAGTAAGTTTCTCTTGGCTAGGCTTGATGAAATCATTGGAACATGTTGGAGCCATTTTCCCTGTTGTGCACATGAGCACATCTGTGTCATGTGTAGACATAGGCCTAGGCCAAATGGCAAGTTACAAATGCCACCAATATTAGGGCTTAGTCAATTTGAATAATTCACTTTTCGAATATTTGACCTTCAATTTGTTCAAATATTCGAAAATTTGGTCTTACCGACTGGCAGATTGTTGTTGATTATACAAAATCAGTTGTAATAATGCACACAATTGAACATTGTAATCACCAGGAGTAACTCCAGCCTTGATTTGGCAAGATTTAAGAGGTGAACAATATTTCTTGCCTTGTTGAAAACTTCTATTCCCTTTCAATTTTTAATGAATAATTGACTTTTTGAATCATTGCAAGATTTCTGTTGCTTTACATTTGGATCTGCATGAAACAAGCCTCCATAGTGCAATTTTCCTCATTTGAAACAAAAGAAAACTTTCCTTTTCACGATTTTTGCATTCGAATATTCAAGTTTGGAAAATAATATTTGGTTATTCAATAATGATTTAATATTCCGATATTCAGCTCAGCCCTAACCAATGTGTAGAACCAGATTCGATCTGATTCACAGTTTTGATATGCCAAAGAACCCAAATTCTTTTGTACCCTCCACATATCTAGTTTTTGTCGGGTCGTATGTGAAAAATTGACAACATATTAAAGGAGTCCAACATGTACTTTCGTTCTTCCCATCTTGATTGATTCAAATGGTTGGCATGACTGGAAAAACTATAATCTATTCTAAGGTGACATGTTACCAGTGGCACCTTTTGAGACTTATCAAAATACCATGAGCCATAAAGTTTGCAGTTTCTTACACCATCCCTCTTTTTTGTTAAGTGTCGTTCATTAAAAATTAAATATGTAAACATGACCCCATTGGAGATACATGTACACGTATATGTCAGAAAACACAAATTTAACTCTAACTCGATTTTGTTGAACAGAAACATTTCAGTTTTGTCAGAAAATGTAAATATTCAAGACTCACAGTACACCTTTTAGACAAACTGTGACTTCTGAATGTTAAGCAGTGGCTTGGACAGTATTGCAGGTATTACACTGTGGTATTTGTGATAAAATACTATGATATTCTCTAACACCATGGTATTTTTTGAAACGGGGTATTACATCCTCAAGTAGCAGTGGTGAAAAGCCAACATTCACTGGGACTACCAACAAATATACGTGTACATGTATGATGTAGGCCAGCATGCAGGTTGTTGTCAATGTGGAAAAATCCCCCGAACTGAAGAAGTACAATTATTTATCAGTTCATTTGTCTTCAAATAAATATTATTTAATAAACAGCAAAGATTAGATTTGCCAACATTTGAGGCAAGAATTCCAACACAGTCTTCCATCACAGGAAGCAATGAAGTTTATGAAGTGGAAATGACTGAGCAAGTACTTGGGTTATAACACACACCCCTGTAAAACATTGTTTGGGACTTCCAGTCAGAAGCTACACCAAAATGGACAATTTGACGCTCTTCCTTTATTTTATAACGGTTCTGCAAGCATTCCAGGCACATTAGCCAGAAAACAACGGTAAGGAAATTCCACATTGAGTTTGCTGGTATTTTGATATGGATCATCAGTTGGTATTGTTCAGTATTGGAAAAACAAACCACCACTGTTCAGTCATACCGTAGTGCTGTCCAAACTGGCTCCACACCTCTACATGTGGCACACTGAACCTTGATGACCAGATGACAGATGGAATTCCATACCTGGACATTACTCTACACCCTGTGCGCAAACCGTGTGAGACTGCTCTGAAAAAAAATGTGCTTTTAAAGTACATGTAAAGGCTTCAATATTTCTCTGCTATTAAATATTAACTTTTTGGATACCGGGGTACATTGAACATAAACTGGTATGTCATTGCTGTCTGATATGTCACTGCAGGGAAAAATAAGTGACGACCATATGTGGAATTATTCCAGTGTAGTATAAGCCAGGGTAATGGAACCCAACTTTCCCCATACCTCAAGATTTGACCTTCTGCCCAATGGAAGTTTAAAGCACTAGTTACATGTAACAAGGGAGTCAGGAGTTATGTGACTTGCCCAACTCCACACTGGAGCCAAAATTGACAGCATTGTTTTACAGGGTAATGTCCTCAGTATAATACACAAACGTCCCTCGTGGCACATTTCCCAATTTCTGAATAATTAGAAACCCAGGGATCATTGAACCTTTCATGTACGGTACATGTTCATGAAGCACTCTGCAGTACTTTCAGTCCTTAAGAATTAACTTTTTAACGTAGTTTAATTAAATAATTCCAGTTGGTCAATTTAGAAATCTGTTTGTCTTCCTATGACAACATCTGGAAACCAGTTGATAATAATGGGATTTCATACATTTACTAGTAACAAAAACAAGGCGCGTATTCTTGCTGAGAACCCCCCTGAAAACCCTCCACCCCCCCAAAAAAATTCTTCACTCTGCAGTAAATAATAGCTTACTCTTTTGACTTGTACTACAGTATCATATCAAGGGAATTGAAGCCCCGTGTAAGCTACAACAGCTGGCTGCTACACATACCTTATCTAGTCCTGTAAAATCTTCAGAACTCCTGGTGGATCTGGAAAGACCTGTTAATCCTTTTACAGGGTTTTCAGAATTCAGTCAGATATGCTTGCACTCCACGCAGTCAACTTTTTATTCTCAGTGACCTTGTGTCCGATATTTAGTCACAACTGACCGAAACTGGTGAGGATATTTGGTGCAGTTCCTCCTCACCCATGTAACCCAAATCACTGACAAGGTTGACTGACCAATGTTACAACAGCCTGTGTTCATGCCGACATGTGCATTGCTTCTAATGTATCTTGACATAATGAGGGATGGTTGATCTTGTTTGGCAGACTTAGCTGTGATGGAGCATGTTGTATGACTTGATCTTGCCACTCAATTCCAGCTGGCAGCTGCGATTAAAAAAAAAGAACAAAAACAAAAAACACCACACTACAAGTAGACTCCTTACTGTTATAGAATTCAACCAATCTTAAAAAAATACAGTGCGTATCAAATTGAAAAAATCGCTTTGTTGGTTACATCGTTAGGCAATGGCATTCATATGTATACTTGTACATGAAACAATTGTAATGACTTGACTTGGGCAGTTTTGAGTTGGCCAAAGCTGTCAAAAGTATTTTGGGCTCTTGGGAGAGTGGAGGGCAGTGTTCCATCAGATTCTTGTTATTTTTGAGGGTTTTTTGGTGAAACTGCCCTGTTCACTGGCGCCCTGCCTGGCACTGTGTGTTTTCAATGCAAAGGAGAAAAAGGTGGTCTGCAACCAGTTGTTGCCGTCAATGTTATGACTAGACGAGCGGCCCTAGGCCCAGCACATTATTATGTTAAACAGCACTTTCCTTACCTCAGTGTCGGGAGGGAGGGAGGGAGAAATAATTTCTTCAGTGGGGAGTTTTTCCGGCTTCATGCGGAGCTGATTAAGGCCATGGATGTGTTAATTTTGGGAATGTGCTAATGATTGATCTCCTGTCAGACCCACAGCAAAATGGCGATACCATCTTGCATTGCTTTAATTGCTTGCAGCAAACACAGCCAGTGGGTGAGCAGTTTTGTACCCACCTTACGATGTCTGTTCTTCTGAATTTATGAACGAGGATACCGGAAATAACATCCCATACTTCTCTCTATTTAGCGGGGATGGTAGTGTTGTGCCGTTGCCAGCAGTCAGCTGTGAAGGTTACATCATTTACATGACAAGTCAGACTCAACAACCAAGTGCTCCTTTCCCCCAAAGTGTATTTCCAAGCCAGTCATATTGTTTACAGCAGATCGTTTATTAAGTAAATAATAACTACAAGCTGGGGAGTAGCGGTTTAGAGTTGCAAAGTATGGCTGGAAAAGTTTTTGCAGCTGAGAATTAACATTCGAGTATGAAGGCTTTTAAGCCTTGTTGTACAGTGTACATCACAGCAGGCTCATCATCAATACAGAAGGCATCTTTGTACTAATTCTTGGAAAATTTGAAATCAAGTCAAGAGAACTTTTGTTCAAGCTGAAGATAATTTTTTTCTTTTTTGACAAACCGATTGACTACATGTAGTTGTTTTCATGTTTGGAGCAGACCACTTTAAGTGAAACAACATGTTGGAGTTAATTCAACGATTGAAAGGCTGCAGTTTCAAAGGGTAGTGCTGATTGGACTAGTTACACTTTGCAGTTGTAAGTGGAAGATCTCTGCATGTTTCATGCATTGTAATTGGAGTAGTAAGACAAGTACTGTACATACATGTACTTTGTAGCACAAACATTGATAATTTTAGCCGATAGTTCTAGTGAAACAGGTGACCCTTGCCCAACAAAACTTTCGCTGTAATTGCTCTGAGGGGATAATATTTGAAAGACTGCTATGAATCATGCCGGCATTGCTAAAAACACAAGCCGGAAAAGAAAGATTAGGTGAATGACGCACTATAGTAGATCGAAAGTTCATGTGGAATAATGAAAGTATTTCTTAGGTCATTTAAGTTGAAGTGTTGATGATATAGCATTACTTTTGTTGTGTCTTAACAAACTCGTACACTTGCCAAGCTACATGCACATATAGGCATTTTGGTAGCTATGCCGTAAGTGCCCAGGGAAACCTTTCCTCAGTAAGGGTAAATATGTGCTCACAGACGGGCACCTCAAAGCTCTATTATTTTGTGCGTGTCCTAGCACTGTAACGTTAATTTTGGAAAAAAAAACCTCTGTGATCATAAAACAAGACGGGGGACTTTCTGAGCTTTATGTAGTTAATATACTGTACTAGAGAATGTTTCCTCATTACAGAAGTACAACTCCTTCCCTAATTTCCCTCAGTATTGTATTTACTTCCTCAATGTCAATAATAAATGCACACTACATTGTACGTGTACATCAAGTTAATGCAGGAGCATTTAGCAAGTCTCAGTTGAATTTTGGTAGTTGAAGGGTTTCAGTTTTCCCGACTGTTTCTTTTTTTTCTTGTTTTGTTGTTTAAAAGTCTAGTTCAACACTCCCAATTGCTTGTTAAAGGGTTACATTGACAAGAGCGAGATGTAAGGATCAGCTTCCTCTCAACGTGGGAAACTTGATGCAAATATAAGTCTTTGATTTGACACCTGATGCGATTGTGCTACAGCTGCAGTTGCGAACCCACATCATATCTTGTTTATACACTACACTGTGCAAACCCTTCGTGGATCCATGGAAGCAAACAAACCTCAGAGGGTCACTCTCATTCAGTTCCATGAATACGGTCAGTTGCTGACATCCGGTATTTCCGTTGTTCAGAAGGTGATATTTCATTTTGATTTGCATTTTTTCCCCCCTTTCTTTCCTGCAGAGATTCCTGTCTCATACGCGTTAAAGCCCAAGTGATGACGCGTACTGAGGAGGGGTGGGGGCCTCTTGGCAATGGGGGCTATGGCATTGTAGGAATCTACAGGCTGAGCCCCGAGACCAAAAAGGTGGAATACATGATAGTGGGCACCAACTCAGCCAGGGATACGGTAAGTAACACAAGCCTTCTCCTTCCGCCCCCCCCCCAGCACAATCCCTGTTCTGTATGCTGGTTTTTCCAAACCTCGTCTGACTCGGTCTCCAATACTGAAAGTGTTTCTAGTCTTGTCAGCTTCAAAGAAGCAGAGATGGTGCTGCCTCACTTTCCCTTAAGACCGATCTCAGTCTGACCTTTCTTTTTTTCTCACACTAATGAAGATCATGAACATTATAGCTGAAATCATTGATGATGAGTTGGCTGGCCACCCCTGCACTTTCTTACTGCTTACAACGTGAAAGAATTATCCAATTTTATTCCCACCCGTGACCTTAGTATGAGGCCACTTCTTTGCCATGGCAACTTATTATTGTCTATCAGAATCTTTGTACTTGCAATCAGGCTCATTTATACCCAAAGCGGAGAAATCCGTGGAATGTTACTTTGGCAAACATAATGGCCATACATCACAGTCACTTGGCTCACTGCAAATGCATTGCTACATGATATCCAGTTCAGTTTTCCATGGCGCTCCCAGTACCACAGTGTCTTGCCTTCTAGAAATGCCGGACTTCCTGAAGAGTGCCCTTATTTGATAACTTGCCACCCAAAGAGTGGACTTGGTAGATCCCAATTTTGGGTGATTGCAGGCAATTTCACAGTGCGTGGCTACCCAGCGCTCAACTCCGCTCAGCCAGCAACTGGTCACATCTTGGGAATGCTGGAGTTAATTTGGGGACTAAAGTGTTACCCACAGTGTTTGCAATGTAGCCACTAATTGGGCCTATAGGCAATTTTTGTATGGGGGGGTGAGTCAGGGAAAAATTCTGCGCAGAAATTTGATCGGCACACTGGTCCACACAAAGTCAGTTCCTGCCCTAGTCCCCAGTATACACGTGTGTCAATTGATACCAATCTCTTTTTTTTGGCCCTCCAACAAAAACTACACGTACATGAATGTTGATTCAGACTCGGTGAGGCATTAATTCACTAAATTGCACTTCAAAGTTGCCCACTTCCTGTGTGCAGTTGTTTGTTCAAATCATGTGTATCGAAATTTTTACAATCTACCAGTACGGTACATGCAAATAATGTCCTGTATAGAGGGTTTCCATTGTTGTGCACGTCATGACTGAAGATCATTCAGTTCTGGACATGTCAAACCCAGGCATCTGGCTGCTATGTGGGCATGGTTGAAAGTGTGGTGTGCAGGCTTTGAACATTTTTGACCTACACGAATGTCATGCATACGAAATGCAGATGCCTCGCCATTTAGAAAAGGCCGCACGAAGGTGCACCACAAGTAGATACTTCCATTTGGTAATCATTGACTTCCTCCCCAGTGTATATATGCAGCTCTACCTGACCGAAGCTAAATAACTGTGTGGCTGGCATTTTAGATATTGCGGTGCCATAGTCCTCACTATGCCACTGCACTTGCACATAATACAGCTGAGTTATGGAGCATGGGTACCTGTAGGCATGGGGGAGGGGTGTTTATTAAATTGACATTTTTCCCAAAGTGTTGTTTTTAATGTACGGAACATGTTTGTATAATTTGCAGAAACAGATATATGGGTCTGTGTCCCAAGTTTCTAAACAATGTTTTGTTTCCATCATGAGGTGTACATGTCCCCTACATATTTGTAACTGTACTGAAGTTCTTTATGTGTTGAAGATGATCCAGTATCCATATGCACAGTTGCTCAGGTGATCTTTGAGAAAAATAGTAATTGCAGAAACTCTTTCAAGAATGAAATTGTTATAAAAGTTTTGTGCCGCATGTTGTACATACAGGACATGCACACTGTGAATACAAAGTGCACAGGCTTTGCTCGACAAGTGTTGGTCATACATGTTTCTGTGAAGGGCTGATAATGTTTGAATTAAACTTGGTGAAGAACGTCAGAATTGAACTCTGCTCAGTTCCTGTGGGTCATAGTGGCTTGTTGCACTTCAGGCAGATTTGTATTATGTAAATTAAGTTATCTGTATATACAGGTACATGTACATCTATGTGTAACAGTGTTTGCACATACGTGTAAATGTGCTGGGCACGATTCAACCAGCCATACTGTACTTAGGTGTGATGTACATGTGGGCTTATGGGTTGTGTAGTTTCATTGCATAGCTACATGAAGTCTGAGCTACCGCAGTGCATTAACCTGTCTGCCATCATTATACAGTACACTACTCAAAAAAAGTTCAGTACCTCTTTTATATATGAGATATTTTATTGCTGAAAATGTGCATTTGATGTTTTGAAACATTTTAAACATTTCTTATTCCAATGAGAACACCACCAAGACAAACAAAAAAAGGAAAGAACTAGACCCCACTCGTCGCTCACAGAGCAATTACAAGTTAACAAAAAGTTTTTCCTTAACTTTTTTGAGCAGCATAGCTGCAGCGTGATTTTTGTTGTGTTGCTGAAAGTGATTAGGCCCGTACATCTTTTTAAACATAGGATTTGCTCTGCTGTGAGTGTGTGCAGTTTCTCTGCTTCAAGGCAATAGTCGGTGTTGTTGGAATATATTTTGCGTGTACCACTAGAGGGGTTACTGCTATTGATGTACTCATGCTGGCCGCGTGTGCACAGGACTTGTCACTTAACACTTCTTGGCAACCGTGGCGAAGGAAACCGATACCGAAGCACAATTTTTTGTAATGCCGACTTATGCAAAAGAATTCTTGTGGTTTTATGGAAAAGGGACTGAGAAAAACATGCCGACTTATACGAAATGACGACTTATAAATGCCTGACTTAGCAATGAAATTTTCAATGGAAATGCATTGCAGATGATCATTACAGACGATCGGGATAGACGGGTCAAACGGCCGACTTGGACAATATGACGGGTTACTCGATGTCGACTTAGTCGGAGTTTACTGATATGGGTTGGATTTGAGTATGACAACACGAATTTCAAAACTCTCTATGTGTGTGTGTTGGAAAATATTCCTTGAAGCGTTTACACGTTTGTTTGATAACAGTCTGTGCCTCACTTTGCATTCACTGTCCTTTTTTGGGGGGGAGGGAGGGATGGATGGAAGAATGAATTGGTTTAACACCATAGGTTCCTGTTAGTAGGTTCTGATCAAAAGCAGTGATTGCCTGACTGCCTCTGAATGGGACCTCTTCCTGTCGCCCCCTTCCAGTCAAAAGAAAGCAGTGGTTAGGCAAAGCTTAGGGACATGAATGCCTCCATTGTAATCCAGTTGAAGTGTGGGATGGTTAAAAGGCCCCCAGACCCTGGAAGCCAATACTTGTGGATTATTATTGGCAGTGTGGTAATTCACACAGGAAGAGTCACCCCATTCTGTGGTTCATGGCCCTTTTCATCACCTGGAACAGTTATAATCCCACCTGGTACCCGCATGGGTTATACATGTGCATGTGTACAGTATGTGGCTTTAATAGAACAAGAACGTGTACGGGGTATGTAAATTTAATTAAGGAAATTCTGACATATAATACTGTACTGTATTGCAGTGATGTTAATTGTTATACAGAACATCAAACAATGCATAAATACACAAGTCTCAGATGTACATTCCGTCCATGTACATGTATACCCACCACACATATTTATACACTGATATGCATGCCCGTTACTTACATACTTGGACATGTAGCGCAAGAAGTTCCAATTTAACAAGGCGGGAACTATAAATGACCACTGCACCGGCACTGTAGCACTGGTACATGTAGCTACTGGTACATGAATATTACGTGGCCACCTCAAAGACGTGTTAGGCACTTTGGAATGTTGATCCCACTTCCCATTGGTAGCATTTTGACTATTAGTGTACAATGCATATTCATGCAGAATTGCACATTTGGGTCGACACTTTGATTTGTTGAGCAGCATAGGAAAGTGTACCTACATCGGCGTAAAAACCCAAGCCTATTAAGAGAATGTCATTTTCATGGTGAAATGTACCGGTAAATTGAGAAGTCATGGCTTGAGAAGTACAAACCTACAAACGTACACATTATAAACTGCAGTGCACATACATGTACATTGTTCACATACATCAAATCCTATGGCATGCCAAAAGACTTTGCCTGTTCGTATCCCACTCTGTACATTATCTGTTCTTTGCTTTTTTTTTATTTTACAGTAATCAGATTGCATCAGTCTGCAGAGTTGTTTGGTTAGATCACACAGAAGAAACATGAACAAGTTTTTAGGTTAATCATAACGATTTATAAAGTCAGTGGAATCAAACATGTGAATGCTGCCTATATTCTGTACGTGTATGTACAGTAGTATTATATGCATAAATGTCATGTATGTGAGGCATAAACAATACTGCATTGCTATCTGAGGCAGGTATTCTAGTCAAGGCAACTTAAGTCTTATACATGTACTAGCACAACTTATGTCATCTCTTGTTACTGTTACAATATACATGGACATGATGGAGGATCAATCAATCTGGCTCACACGGGGGGGTGTTTTAGGTGGTGACTTAAGACTTGTGGGGGGTGACTGCATCACTTAGCACCTAAAGATACAATATACAGTCCTTTGTTGTGTGTTCTGTATTGTCTTGTCTATGAAAAGGGTAGCACAAAAACTGCTGGTAGACAGTTTTTTTCATTCGTTATGCAGGGAGACATACAGTACATGTACCAAACACAAAAATTGTGAATGGTATAAAATAGATAAGCTGTCATACGTGTAACTCTAAAAATCATGTTTATTTCCATCTGTCAGGGTCAACAGAAAGGATAGAAGCAATTGCAAACTGAAGTAGGAAGATAATTTCAAAACAAAACAGAATCAGTCAGGTTGATGAAAAAGAATTTTGAAAATTTGAAATGACAAAGTTTATATCTTTTTTATGTGGTTAACACTTGTTATTGGGGATCCTTCAGTTGGCTATCAAGACACGAAAAGATGTGAACATTGTTTGTGGGTTTTCGGAAGCATGACCGTTTGTCCTCTTTTTTACTTTATCTAATTCATATTGGCTCTGCATCTAAAATCATCTCTCTTTTCTTTTCTTTACAGAGGCTCATGAATTGTCTTTTACGGCGTGATGTAGAATACAACAAACCGACACCTACCTTCCGACACTGGAGAACGCAAGACTCCAAGTTTGGGCTGACGTTCTCCAATCCCTCCGACGCAAGAGCTTTTGACCGGGGATTTGCCAGAGTTGTACAGGAGCTGGACGATGGTTTGTACACATCCTTTGGGTTTTTAGACATACATTTGTTTTTCTGTGAGTGTAAATGCGCAAATCCTAATGTAGACAATTGCTGGTTATTCAGTACATGCCATTGTCAGCTTTCAATTTGATGAGGTAAAAGGAAACAATTGACATCAGCAGCAGCAAAAAAGCAATTCAGGCGGTGCGAGTTTCAGTGGGCTTTTTGTCTCCAGTCTCTTTCACACAATTTGGATTAATCTCAGTCGTGGCTGTGTGTTGTTGCTGGATTTTGGGTCACTTTAAACAGCTGTTTACGGAATCATGTGGGAAAAGACGACATTTTGATCGTACCCATGCAGGTGATTTAGTCTGTGGCTTGGAATGTGCAGACAAAGCACACTCGAGGTGCTACCGGTCTTATCTGTGCTTCAGTTTGATCATGAACTTGTTTGCTTGGGGGAGGGGGGCAGTAAGAGTTGGAGACAAGATGGCCAGTGACATTGGAACCCTATAACCCGTTGGTGCAGTGACTAATACATGAATACAGAATCAGGTGTGGGTTTACACAGTGACCTATGTAAAAAATGTCACTTCCACTGTGGCCGAGTACCGGTACATGTAAGTGTAATAATGTTTTTAGATGCATCGGTGCTGTCAGTGGCTTTCAGCAGTTTGCAGTAGTTCGCAATTTAACCGGTGTCCATTCGAGGACAGTTTTCATTCATGTACATCCCTAGGCAAGTCAGCAGCAGGAAATAGATGAGAGAAACCTAAATTTTGATTGTAGTACACACCGTGTACTGTACATGTGTAGTGATGTACTGCTACTGTGTACACATATGTGTGCATGTTGTTTTATGCAGAAAATTTGGGTGGGCCAAAATGTGATGTTGTATAGACCTGAACCAGCTTTGCTCCCTTGTACTAGTGTGTGGCTTGTTACTAGTGTGCAGGCATGTCATACATAGTGTGGACCTCTGCACAAAAGAAGTCCACGAAATGCACGGTACAGTGGCGTTGTGTGGGCTCGCACACGTCCGCACAATGTTTTCCCCTCTCTGAAAAAAGCATCAGAGGGATTTGGGGTCAAGGTTATCATGGCAAAATGAAGAGGAACAGTCCAGGAAATCATCAAAAATCCAGCTCGAAGGAGTTATCCCAGTGGGAGAAAAAGGAGCATTTCCCCAAGTTCCCTTAACCACAGGAACACAAAGGAATGTCCACACTTTGGATGTAAAGCAGGTATATGTATGTGTGGACAGTTTGTGTCAATGTGCTGTTTACAGACTTCCCAATTTTCAGTTAAGGGACACAGTGGATTCAACCATATCTAGTAGAACTATTTAACATGTTCAGCCTAGCCCTCATTGAAGGATGTTTATCTTGGCGAGAAGAAAAAGATGGATCCTATTGTGTTGATTTCGCCCGGTACAGCCATTTTTACAGGCATGATATTTCTCCTATTTCTGTAGGATTTCATTTTTTTCTCTCCTTCCATTTCCTATCTGTTCTCCCATTTTCAGCATTCTCTACTGTACATGTTACGGGGGGTCTGCAGGGAGCCTTTTCCTAGTTATCCTTCAGGGTCAAATATCATGTCTGTTGTAAGAAGTCCTCAAGAGAATCCCCTGAAGTTAAGAATCTGTCACAGTGTTGACTTTTGTGGAGTGCAATAAATGCATGAATATATGCTAATACCATACAAGCACCGGCACTTGTACATGTACAATGTACAATGTACGGTACAAGTGGTTTATACATACATGTACATGTACTTCATGGGGGGTTGACCTACATGTACATTGTACATGTACAAGCACATGCATGTGATGACCTTATTTTGATGCCAGTGTAGTGTACGTGTAGATGTTGTGTCTTCAGCTTCTACATTTTGCATTCAGTCCAGGAATTCATAGATTTCACACTACTGTGGTCTATATGTTTGCTTTAGCAACAATTTGATTCAGATTTCTCCCCATTTACTGACAGAGTTTTTCAATGTCCAAGTTCAAGAAAGAACACCTACCGTTAAGAGTATCTCTTGCCCTGTGTCCATTTGACGCCTGTACCGCTATGTGTGCACAAAGAATCAGTTGATGATGCAGTAAATGTAGCAGATTATGGGTGAAGAAAACTGCAGAAATCATTCACATTGGTGACAAAACTTTTGAAGTGAGGTTTTCCATTTGCTCAGAAAGCATCCTTTGTTGCGATAAATGTACATGGGTGTCCTCCATACGGGGATATGTGTGATACATTCATTTTGTATTTTCAATTTTGTCCAACTGCCAATGACATTTTAGATGTGTATCACACATGGACAGGTACATGTATGCATGTGACATGCACACGTATTTTAAAATCTGGAGAGGGAAAAAAATATGCAGAACTTTTCATTTTCTTGAAGGTTCCTTGGTACATATTTGTGTGTTCACAAAAAGCAGTCATATTGGAGACTGTTTTAATTTACATTGAACTTCAGTTTTGCTGAACTGATTCAGTGTCTTTTCAAAGTGGGATGTTTCAATGTCTAATGCAACACACATTCAGGTGTTGTCATTATTCATTTATGCAACATTAAATGTTGTGACAAATTACCACTATTGTTGTGTAGCATCAGTTATATGTAGGGTAGTAGCAACATGTTTTGTTAACCCCCTAGGGACCATTGAAATCCTGCATAACCTTGTTGGGTTCAGCACGGTTAGGGTTGGGGCTGATAGTCATTCATACTGGCTAGATCTAATGTCCAGTCTGATATCATACTTGTACATAACACATCAAATATACCGTAATCTTCCCAGTTGTTGTACCATGTTTATGCTGTTTAGAGAGAGTTGGCATGACTGCCATTCTGCAGGGCAATTTTTGGGTTCCACAGGGAAACCTTTGTGCTTATCCTGTGGAACAAAAGCACTGGCCTGCAAGATGGCTACCGTGCAAAGCTTCTATTGGCATGCATGTACATGTGTAAATGTACATGTATATAGCTATTGTTTTACCTTCGGCATACTGAAATCAGTCATTAGAAAATTCAGTCCTACAGGTACAGGTGTGTATTGGTTAGGTAACCTCGCCTCATCACTATTCATATTACAGTTCTGAGAAGAGCACAGGAAGAGAAACTGTGTTGATGTGCTCCTGTCACCACAATCTTGTAATTAGACCTGCCCAGCGGAAAGCTTTTGGGATTTCCAACAGTGAGAATGATAGGCTCGTGGGGTTATTAGACAGTATGCATACAGTTGTGTAACACTATTATGGCCACATGTACATGTGTCTTTGCACCAAAGCACCATATGAAGCACCATATAAAGTCCATGTACCTACATGTGTATTTAAGTTCATACATGTAATGTGTACATGGACATAATTTACTGTAAAGAGTAATGTAAATAACTGTAAAGAGCACTGAGAATCTCTCAGGACTGAAATGCATACATTATATAAAAACATGTATGAGTACATCATATTTTCCTTATTTTTACATGTGACAGCTGTGTGCACATACCGGTGTGCATGTGTACATGTCCATGTTCATGTGATGTACATGTACATGTGTACGTTAAATTTTAATTTGATTATACCGGTACATGTACATTGGCCTATAGTGATGTAGAAAATGAAGTCTGTGAATCATCTTTCAGGCATTCACATATTATGTACACCTGTACAGTGACTTTAAAAATTCTAGTTAGCACAACCTGTGCAGTGCAACGATGGGGAGTGTGGTGTGGCTGGTGAATTTGGCAGTGACAGCGGAACTAAGCCGCTGCCATGCAGCCCGGGGAGCAAACTGTCGAGCGGTAATTGATAAAATGACTTGTGCAGCAGGATGTTCATGGTCAGCTGCCAAACCTGCACGTCAAAGCCTGCTTCCTGTGTCTTGCGGGTGTGCTCTGCGCATGCGTTTGTGGGCTGTAACACGGAGGGACCAGTGCCTCGGTCTGCATTTAAATAGCACTGTCAAAAGGTCAAGGAGACAAGTCAAACAGTCGGATTTCCCCCCGACTTCCACCCTGTCTCCCTCCACCCCTCCTGTCATCTGTTGCATCTTTTGCCGATGAGCAAGGAATATCAGGAAGGGAATGGAGTCTTTTTTCCCCCCAATTTTTGTCTCGTGCCAACACCGGAGTGCACTGAACAACGTGTTACAGTTTTTGTCCCTTAGGGTAGCTGAAGCAAAGTACGATGCATAAAGTTGCCATGCACAAAAAAATTAATAACGATTAATTAAAAATTAATAGTGATAGAAAAGTGTTAAACTACGAAGCTCTACAGTAATACAATGTAACTAACAACACCATTAAATAGGGCTGAGGTTAGGCCAAATCTTGCAGTTTCATCACAGCGAAGGTACTAATTAGTGCTTTCACCAATGAGTCCTCTCCATACATAACACTGCAACTGTCCTCATAAATTGTAATTCAAACCAGACCTCTTGGACGCAGTCATATGGGTAATTCCAAAAATTAGGGGTACATTTTTTCAAGTCCCTCTCACATCTGATTATGGTTTGTATGTTTAGACCACGTTTTCTAGTTTCAAAGAGTGACGAATTAATGCAGAATACCTGCCAAACAAATAGTAATAGTTTGGAATTAATTCTGGCGATATTCCCACGTCAAATAACAAAGGTCAGATGTAACAGGGACACGAAAATGTCACACTTTTGGACCCTAATTTCTGGCATTGCCCATATGCTTTCATGTCCTTGTGCTATATACAATGTACAACATACACATACATGTATACATGTACCATGTGTGCGTGTACAAAGTACATATCCTTTCGTTTTCCCCTGACGAGTAGGTACAGTACCAATAGGTGTGCACTTACTGCTTGTCATTGTTCAGTTGTCACCTAAATGCACAACTGATAATGAAGGTATAGGGTGACACCAGACTCACATGTTTTAGTACCAATGTGTAATAAGCGAAAAACCTGAATATAAGACTTTGTCAAAGACCTGCATCCCCATAATTGTTTTGCATGGACTCGGAGAGGTATATGTACTCAAGATGTAGTGACCACAGAACATGTACATGTAGGTTGTGTGGCTCCATGACTTGATTCAAAGACACAATTTATGGATAGGTGTGGACCGTTAGAGATTCAAGTCTTGAGATCTTCCTTTCCTAAGTATGGCCAATCCAACAATTGCACCAAACTCAACAAACGAGAGCATTGTTCAACAGACCGCAGCATTGCATTATGGTTATTGCAGCCGATCTGCCCTTTGTATGGCTTACACCAGACTGGATTATATTGTGTATGGGACGGTAGGGTTTCAGCTGAAAAATTGATCAAATCAACTTGATGTTGAGGGCAGGTCGCGCAGCACTATGTAAAAAGGTCAAAGGGATTTTTGTTTGTCTGTGTATTTTATAATTGTGTTTATTTTAGTGGTGGACCGTGAAAGAGAACGGCCTGGTTTTGTTGTTTTCATAAGTGAAAAGCCTGAAATCCAGTTGTGATCCTACCATTACTCACCGTGCTTGAATAGTGCAAGCTGGTCAGGCTCTCCCTATTACATGTGCTGGTACTGTACCGGTACATGTACACAAATAAACTATTGTGTTTGGAAGAGGTTCCATTCAAGTGGAAAATGAATTTTGGAGTTGTCAATGTACCGCATGAAGGGGCAACCAATTCATGTTCTCTGGGACTCAAAACAGCAGCACGAAAAATGTTCAAATTGTAGGGTTGCAAGCAAGGTTCCCTTTCACGCTAGGGGCCGTTCAGTAATGGGGTGGGATGGGTTAACCCAGCTTTTTCCTCCACTGTGCCAACTTTTCCTTTGTGGGACGAGTCTGTACGCCGCTCTGGAGAAATTTGTTCATTTCGACGGGGTGCCATCAACTCTCCAGTGTTCTGTACAGCTCTTTGTGTCACATGCACCCCGAGTACATGCACCCGCAAAGCACACTGGTGCCAAATGCATTTAGGAAGTTGCGAGTTTATAAAACTTGGTATCTGGAATTGCTATCTGTGTTTATGTTTCCCCAATCAGGATGAGGATGCTGAACATTCTGGAAGTGACTTTTTCCTCTCCTTGTTTAGTGGGGAGCTGACTCTGAATAGTTTAGCAGGTTGGGCTGGAAGTTTAAAGGGGCAAGCGTGCAATTTGTACTGCTCAGACTTTTAGTCATTGCGTCAACACTGAAGATAAAGACAATAACACGTAACTGGATTTCACATGAAATGTTACTTCAACTTTATGCTCTGGTTAAGTCTTTTTAGTAGTGGGGTTATTTGATTTTGAAGTCATAATCCTTTGTGTTTATACAATGCCACATTGTTTGTCTAAAAACTGAAAGTTACTTGTACAGTACAAACAAGGCTATTGTGTCTACAGTACATACCGGTATCAGAGGAGAGATAAGAGAGAGGAACGGGGAATGGCAGTATCGGAGTATGTTGAATGTCATGATTCAAAGTGAAACTGAGGACATGCCATATTGTGTAGGCATCACCAGGTAATTTCAGTTTCATATGACTTCCGTGAAAACAATCTATACATGTAAATCTTTTTAGGGAGTAATATGATTGTCTTTTGTCCAGTGAGATGGAGGGTTCACATGGAGCTCTTTTTTTTTTTTTTTTTAGTGGAATGCTTTTAAGAAAATGGCTGAGAGACATGAACATCAGGCATATCCCTGAAGTGGCATATATCCTGTGACCACTGCTGAAGTTCATGCTGGTCACTGTGTGTACATGCAAAGTATGTCCATGTGTTTTAACATGGGCAATTTGTGCCCTGAATATTCGGAACTCTAACTGTTGTATTACCCGTGGAAATCTCCCTGTGGTCCAGCCAGCGACTTGTTGCCAACACCCCCAGAGACAGCCCCCCCCCTTATATCAGGAAGACGGTTCATTTGCATTGTCAACCAATTAGATTTCCCGCTGTCCTGGGAGACGGACAGACAGACAGACAGGGAGAGAAAAAAACACTGCGCCAGAACATTTCAGAAATATGGCCTCCAATCACCCAGGGGCTTCACTGCTTGGAGTCTTCAACTGGAGACCGAAAGAAAAGGGAGGGGTGGATGACTTTGGATGTAGAGTTTCAGTGGCCTGCAGGTAAACATTTCTCCTGCATCTCGGTCTGCCTTTTGTCAGGTATCTGGAGAACTTTTAGTGTAGTAGGCTGCGCTAGCAAGTGGAGAAGAAACTGCCATTAGTCTGCATTAGGCTACACCAGAGGGACAGAAAGGGAAAGAGAGTGAAAAGGCCCAGTGTAATTTCTTAGAGGTTTGAGGGGTTGAGGTGGGGCCAGGCAAAAGCGAATAGCATCTACGAGTACAGCTTTAGCCCTCCGCGGGTATTAATGACATCTAGCGGCTAATCAAGCTAAGCAGTGTGTAGAATGTTACGGTTATGGTGTAAGATTTGTACACGGTCTAAATTTTGTGCTACTCCACATCGCTGTTTGAATCAGTCTAATAGTTTTGCTGTTTAAAAGTTTTAACCCTTTTTTTAGTCAGTAGGGTGACAGCTATATGTAGGGCCGAGTCAATTCAAATAATTCACTATTTGAATATTCGTCCTTCAGTCGGATCAAATATCCAAACATTCGGTCTTACCGATCGGCAGAGTGTTGATGAAAACACTATATATACAAAATCAGTTGCAATAATGCACACAATTGTACGTTATATTCACTGTAATAGCTTTTCACTTCTAGGGTATCTTCAGTCATGATTTAGCCAGATTTAACAAACGAACAGTACTTCTTGCCATGTTGAAAATTTCTATTCCTTTGAAATTTTTAATGAGTAATTTAATTTTGAATTGTAAGATACATTATTCTGTCCCCTTTCATGTGAATCTGCAATTTTTCTCATTAAAAAAAGAAAGAAACTCCTTTTTCGTGATTTTTGCAATCAAATATTCAAATTTGGAAAATAATATTTGAATTTTCGATAATTGATCAAATATTCAGATATTCGGCACAGCCGTAGTTACAGCTGTTAAAAGTGTTTGTGTATGTACATGTACCATTCTGTTACAAGTAATTAAAAACATTCACCTGTATCTTTATTTCCTCAGAATTTGGTGTCTATTTGAAAAACCTGTCGTTTGTGAACAAGCATCCTGTGTTCCTAAAAAGATTCCCCTTAATGTTTGCCGTGGACTTGGTGCTGCATGTATTGAGTTGGCCACATTTTCCGTTGACAGTGGTTGCCACAATTAACCTTGCCAAGAATGACTACACCAGGAAAAGATCTTTTCTGTGGTTCATATGGACACACATCATAGCCCTTGCAAAACATTTTTTTTAAGTTAGAAAAGTCCTTCATAAAGTTGTACACTAAAAATGTGGTGCAACCAGGGTTACATGTACACCTTTTTGTAAAATTTTATAAAGTTTTTGAACTGGCTGCAGGGCCATTGCTGAATGTTAAATCATGCTAAGTCCACCACAGCTTCCATCAAATGAAAAGACCCGACCCAGTTTTACCACTTTTCTTTTCCCCTTTTATTATTTTCCTTCAGGAAAGTGTGCTGGTATTCACTGCACCACCCGCAACACAGATCCTTTCAGTTGAGTCCAGGGGGATAAAAAAAAAATACCTTGTCACTGATTTCCTGGGCTTCCTTTTTTTCTTTGTGGTATTTACACAGGTGCATCGACAGAATCCTCACTGAACCAGTCAACGGACAATGAAGTTGACGATGACCCAGACACCTTCCCGCCCAGTGTAAGTAACCCAGGATTGGCTGAGGAGAATTGGAAAGTCTCCTCACAATAATGCATTGCCACCCCTCTGCCCTTCTGCTTTGTATTTCGTTTTTCAACAAAGATAAATTTACATGTTCACCCTGTCATTAAAGTAAACTTGTGCATGTGTGGGAGTGGAAGGTTTATATATTGATATGTTTCAGCTTTCCCAACTTAAGATTGAGTAATACGGAAATAAAAATGTGAGAGTATAATGCTCGCATGTCAAGTTCCCTAATAAAATGAGACATGAAAAGTGATCAACAAAACAGAAGTGTTTGAGAGGATATGCCAGTTTAGGATATTACTCTTAAGTTACTGACGAACAAAGGTCGGAAATGCAGGAGACAAATTTCTCGAAAGATGCAGCCAAATGTACCGGTTTAACTACCCTGGTGAGGAAGTTGGCTTCTCAAGTCTTTCTTGGTGGTGTACATGTACATGTCGCTGTAAGTCGACGGAGTCACTGCAATATGTTTAACCCTCCGTGCCCTTTTTTGTTCTAAGTTCATATTCGGCTCATGCTGTTTTTTTTTTAATTGTTCGGACTTGATGCTTCACCTTTAAATAATCTTGTCCAGTGTTCGTGATGTGTATCATTGAACAGTATTGAACTCAATACAAAAAAGAGAAAGATAGACCAATTGAACCAACTAATGTACAGTGGGAATCAAACATTAACAAACATGGCGTCCTTCCGTAGCAAAGTGGGTGTTGTTTACCAAAAATAATTCTAATATTAATGTTATGCCAGTGACCCCAAAACATTTTGGGGGAGATACAGTTGTAAACAGTGTGTATATATTGTAGCAGAGGCCAGCTCAAAATGTTAAGTTTTTGCTTGTTTCTTGTATACTATGTTGATTGTTCTATCCATCAAGTTTAAGTGTATGATTTGCTGTGTTTTTGTCATAAAATAAAACATACCCCAGTCTTGTGCACTTTGTAGTTTCAGACAGGAATCTCATACATGTACTCTGAGACATTTTGGGGGAGATACAGTTGTAAACAGTGTGTATATATTGTAGCAGAGGCCAGCTCAAAATGTTAAGTTTTTGCTTGTTTCTTGTATACTATGTTGATTGTTCTATCCATCAAGTTTAAGTGTATGATTTGCTGTGTTTTTGTCATAAAATAAAACATACCCCAGTCTTGTGCACTTTGTAGTTTCGGACAGGAATCTCATACATGTACTCTGAGACTTGGTCTCCACATTTTCGTGCAAAAACATGAATCGATCATTCCCGGACAGAGCATTTAGGGTAAATTATAAACCGTCCCGGTTGTCGCAAATGGAAAATACTGTGCCGAAGATTTTTGAGGACTGTTTGACAAATATCCAGTGTCTGCAAAAGCACTCTGAACTCAGAAAAGTGACGCATAAGCCTCGCCGACTGCTTGTGTTGTATTGCATCTGCCGGTATGGTGTATGTACGGTGCTGTGCTGCTGGACCACTGCCAGGTTTGTTTTTGGGACCGCCACAGCACTGAGCCCCGCAACACTGCCAGGTTGCTTGCCGTCGTCCCCATTCGACGACCATTAAATGGTTACTTTCATAGGAACTGAATCTAATCACTTTCACAAGGAGACTCCTATATGTGTTTATATCTTTTCCTTCGACACATTGAAAATTGTTGGATTGGCAATAAACAAGCCCGCATGCTAGTCTTCTAAGACTTAGGTTGCACGTTTTTGCACACATCAAAAGGTACATGTAGCCTGCGATTCTGGTCTGGGTACTGACTCCTACGCTGACCTCCTTATTATATGAATAGTCTGTTCCCACACTGCACATGAACACAGGTGCACTCTGCACCTTCAATGTCTCGTACTCCATCATTTCTGAACAAATCTCACAATTATTTTGACCAGCTACTGTAAGGTTAAGATTTTAGGTTTATACATCTTAGAGATTTATGTATAATATTTTGCTTTTTCTTCACGCCATCAAAACTCATTTTTATGAGTTCCGGGGCCATATTGATGCCAGCTTACATGTATCTTCATGCATGCTTCATGCATGCCTGCAGTGCCTTTTTCCATCATGACATCATCAACCCAACATAAACACAAAATGACCTCGCGTGTTTCCGAAATTGGCCCAGTTGGTTGTGGAAAGGAATCACCTCTTGTTTCTGTTGTGTTGATTTTCAGGAGATAAACCCATGGTATACTGGTTTTTGGGTGGCCAATCTACCTCCCGAACCCTAGATGTCAAAATATTTGAAGCCTTTTTATACCACTTTAAGATTCTACAGAATTTTTCTCTTTTCGAGGTACCGGGTATGTTTATTTTTCTAGTTCATTGAATTTGAAGGCTCAGACAAGGTTTGCTGTGTTCTTAAAAGTAAAGTGTGTATTGCATTTTTCTCTGTACAGCATGTTGGTGAGCCACTCTTGTGTGATCCTAGTGCCCACGAATACCAGAACACACCGGGCAGTAACCAAAGAGAGAGTCTACGAGACATTCTCATGCAGCCCACCCAAGCCAGAGACTTTGCCCCTCAGTTCAACCATCACAGCAACCAGCAACGGCTCCACCGAGTCCACTATGTGTCACGCTCCAAGTCAGTCAAAGACGACAAGGAGCGGCGGCTGTCCAACTCCAACAAGAAGTATTCCTCAATTGGACACGAGACGATATGGACAAAGAAGGCCACGGAGTTCCAGTCACAGCGTGACAATGGCCTGACAGGGGAGAACGGCAGCAGCGACCCTTATGTCAAGATCCTGAAGAAGCCGCCCCACATCCACGAGTACGTCTATCCAATGGTGCTGGGATCGGAAGGGGAGGACGATTTGCGCAAGCCCCGCCACCACCTGAAGGTGGTGACCAGCCAGCCCAGGCCACCCTCGCCCCCGGTCAAGGCAAACAAGGTCCCTCTGCCACCGGACCGCGTCAAGTGTGTGCACTGCCAACAGTTTTTCAATCCGGAGACGAACAGGCGGGGGGCGTGCCCGGACGCCCCCGATGAGACAGACCGCTGCATTGGCAAGGTCAGCTGCATCCAGGCGGCGCAGAGCATGATGTACCACTGCATGGCGGATGCCGAGGGGGACTTCTCGGACCCCTGTTCCTGTGATGCCAGTGCCGACACCCACTTCTGCCAGCGCTGGCTGGGCCTGGGGCTGCTTTCTCTGTTTGTCCCCTGTCTATGGTGCTATTTACCACTCAAATGTTGCCACTTGTGTGGCATGAAATGCGGGTGCTGCGGGGGCAAGCATAAAGCTATATGACGCCCCTCAAAAAAAAAAGAAAAAAAAGAAAAACAGTGTATATTGATGCTTCATGGTGCCGTGTGTATTTAGTCGGTAGGAATACGACTAACTGTTTTTACGTCATCTTTGTGAAGGAGAGACGGATGATAATATTTATGCATATCATCTGATGTTAACGTGCATGTGTCACGTGACAAGTGTGACCTTTGGACGTTTTCTTGCACCACTGATGACCTGATCCTGGCCACTAGTTCCAAGTGAACCTTGCACATCCATCACAGAGTCTTTTCATGGTACTGGTTCTTGTGGAATCATTCATCCATGAAACCTTGAATCCTTAGACAAGATGTCCCAGTAGTCTTTGCTCCTCAAGGTGTTGTAGTAATTGCATGGAGTCATGTTGCAACAAGCATAGTTTAAGCATAGTCCCAATAATCCAGACTAGCGTCTCTCTCTGGGGCACAGAAAATGATACATGCAGCCAATTTCGCCTGAAGACGAACAGAGCACACTGTTCGAAACGTCGAGTGAACCCCGGTTCTTTTCAGAACCACACACACTCAAAGAGAGAATTTGATTACATGGTGTCACTGCAAACTTCACATAATTTGGAGTATCCTGAGTATTTGAGAACAGAATGTGATTTTTTTTTGTGTGTGTGTTTTTTTTCTTTTTAAGATGCAAAATGAATGGAACCTCAAGGGAACATTTAAGCAGGAAGTTGATGGCCTCTTTCTCTCATATCTGAAGGAATTCAGGGACAGTAAATGCCCACCAACCACATGCGAAGCGTATCTGGCATTAATCTTGCTACACAAAGTCCCTGTATCGATGTGCGTTTTCAAAGAACGCTTTTGCATTTGTTTTTTTTCCCCCCAGCTCACTGAATGCTAGAGGAACATGGCACTCAGCTATCCTGTCAATTCACAGAGCTGCTAAACGCTGAAATTTGCTCAGTTTATGGTAATTGACTTAAAAATGTCGTGCAGCGTACGTATTTGCCTGTGACCCTTCTCAGCTGATTTTGCCGTAGAGCTTGGTCGATCAGTTTGCTGAACAACAAATGATGTGCCTCATCACTATGACACTGCCCCCTGGCAGCTGGGCACCTTCCCGTTTTTGGCAGGGGATCAGCACGTAAAAGAAGGCAGGGAGCCACTGGAAGTTTGCTGCTTCCTTCCAGGCCTTTTATCATTTCATACTTGGGGACATTGCAACCGGGCAGTTCGGAGGCACTTCACTTTATGGATATTGCTGAATATACAAGGATTAGGAAGCCACTTGGAAGTTAAGCATTGACTTTTCCAGAGCCCTTCAGTTATGATGGGAAGAAAACACTTTAAGTCTAGGTCATTATTTTTTTCTTCTTCTGTTGGACTTAAAAGAACCAGGTAATTCAATTAAAGATCTCCCTGTGGGTGGAGCATGTGCGGCAATTTGTAGTCGCGTCCTGACTGGGTACATTTCCGGCCTTCTGCACGTGGTGGGGAAGTTGACCGGTCATTGGCAGTTACATGTATCTGTGGTGCAAGGAGAGGCAAGATAAGATACCAGACTTCAAAACGGACGGATTTGAAGGTTTACAGTCGTAAGCTTACAAAAAAGTTCTTGTGTCCAGTGAGCACACCAAACAGAACTGTTGTAATATTTTTTGTGTACATTTGTAAAACTCTGTAAAATATAGCAACTGACTTACATTGTAATTGAAATGTACGGACAGCAAGACCTATAAATACGCTTCAACACTTGCGACGTATCTTTGCTTAAATTCTCCATTTCTGTTTTTAAGGATTTTTTTTTAATCTCACAGAGGCTATACAAATTATGTAATAATGTAAAATACAAACGTGTATATAAACTATAGATAAATTAGATGCATTTATCATTGTAAAGCTAGATTTTAATCAGGGGAGTGATAAGAAATGGATGGGTTACCCTTACTGTGTGCAGCGGCATGTCTTTGTGTTTGCCAAGCTCTGCCAGGGAAACTCCCTGATTTTTTAACGGTCAGAGATTGTCAAGAGGTAAATTGTCAGAAGCATTTGTCATGTTTGGATTGTTCAAGACTTCTGGGATTCACACTGAAATCGGGTTAATTGTACTTAAGGTTTGGGGCCTGTTAGACATGCACCTGTCCAGCTTAGGAAGGGTGAAAACAGTGTAGATTTGTTTGAATTTCTTTTTTCTTTCTTTCAATCTCTGGTTGATGGTGATCAACACAAGATTTGCATATTTGTTCGTACATTGGACAGGAACACCTTCATTTGTGTGTAAAAGCACCCGACATGTACCAACATGTTTAAGCTGTATCCTGCCAGAAACTTGATTTTGCACTGAAAGTGAAAGCAAAAACATAGCAAAAAAAAGCAAAACAAAACCAAAAACCCACCAAAAAACCGCTAAGAAATGCAGACAAAATGACGGACATTTCACTGAGGATGCCTCGGAGAGCTTGACATCCAAATCTTCTATAGTGAGTTTCCTTGTTCTTTTTCCTTTTTTGGGCTGAGTGAAGATTTGCCTCACAAGTGGGTTTTCACACTCCTGATGTTACACGTGTACAATGGCAGATTGTATGCGTATGCTTGTGCTTCCATTTACTGTCCTTGGTAGCATTCTTCAGTGTTTAACGTGCTGCTCTTTTTGTGTTACTGAACTTTCTTCCTTGACTGAAAAAAAAATGCAAATCTCAGGTTGAAGCTGCCTCAGTGAAAAGTGGGAGTTCTTGCACCTTTTGCATGTTTATAGATGTGCCCCACCCGCAGTTACTGCCAGGCTGCTTGAATTTGTATTTTTGGGGGAATTTTAATCTGCTACATTATTTTGTGTTTTAATTAGTACAGAATGTGAAATGTCCTTAACTTTAGTTTGGTTCCATTTCTATTGGTCAGCCCCATGTTCTTGAGGATGAGTTGTTTTTTTCTGAGAGTACGTTGTAGCAAAGTCCCTGAGAGAGGATTTTGCAGGGTTTTGTGGCTGAATCACCCATCACCCTATTAGCCAAGTGTGTGTGAAAAATTACATTGTGATTGAATAATTCCAAAGTTATTGGAGTTAGACCATATCAACATTTCAACAGTGCAGTTTGCCCACAACTTTTGCCTACCCCTTGAAGAAGTATTTCAGCAACTTCGCTGTCTTGTCAGCAAAACAAAAGACGGATAGTTCCATCTCTGAATCTGTTTCCGCTTTTTTGCTGTGCCAGGAAATGAATGGCAGATTTTGACAGCCCCCTCCCACTCCAGTGCGCATGAGTCTCTCTGTTGACTTCTCGTCAAAAGGGACACCACAAAGTCCTGTCTTGCAAGTCTGACTTAAATGCAGTCGTGAATGATTCTAATTTGCTTCCACGTTTACCTTAACTCATATTTGGTGCGGTTATTTGAATTTTTTCATTACCTCAAGGAAAAAAATTACACTTCAGCCTTCAGTAGGGCTCATGCAGATGTTTGCGTTGGTGCCTAGTCAGACACCAACTCTGCTGGTTGGGGATACTATGAGCCCCTAGTGTAGTTCATATCAAGTGTTCTGTGTAGGTGACTTTTGCACCACTGAATTTTGTACTGCCGTGCATGTAAACACTCTTCGTGTAAAAATGATGCATTTTTTGTTTATAGTACACCGGAAGCTCAGCAGCTGTACATTTACTTTTTGGGGGGGGGCTCTCCATGACGAGTATTTCCATTGATACGGTTTGTCAGATGTAGGGCATATTTATGGTTCACTTCCACTATTCCTGTTCATCTAGTAATGATTATGCTTTTTTTATTTTGAAGATATGTAGCTTGTGTCAATTTCATAGCACTTGAAGCAGATTAAGAAACCTTGATTTTGCATATTTTGTTGGCCCAGAGTCTTCAGATAATCCTCTTGTAAGCAGTTGTCCACAGTTGGATCCAAATTACCTGCTACAAAAGGGTCTGGTTTTGGCTCATATGCTTTGTTTATTTTTCAAAATTGCTTTTTAGATTTTGCTTTGTTTTGAAAGTTGAACTGGTTTGTTCCGGCATGGAAACCTCTCTCATCATCATTTGGGGCTTCACGCCCAGAGCATATATGTTCTCAGTCATTGAGTCACCCCGATTATCAGTAATGACAAACAAAAGTGTTGGTTCCTGCAAACTCTATGAGATCATCACTGCATGGGAAACCAGTGCATCCTGCAAGGGCTGCACAGTTCAACAAAAGAAAGTCTCCCTCTGGCATTGGCTCTTGAGTAATTCCAGCTCCCTACTGTTCAGTGAGACTGCATTTCAGACACTGTTGTGTTGTGGCCGAAACAGCCAGCTTGATCATAAAATTCTGAAGGAAACTCAAACATTTTATTTGGGAGAAGGGGGGCATATCTCAGTAGGTTTTGGGGAGACGGGTACAAATGAGTGTGGTCCAAACAAAACTGGAGAGTGCCATTTTTTGTGTGCACATGGTAGGGTTTTTTCCCTAGCAGAGACAGATTTTCGTATGGTTAAACTGCAGATTATTCCTGCAACGAGTTCAAAAACTAGAGGAAGTTGGGAGTAGTGTCTGGGTGAAGTTGATCTTGTTCATCCGCACACCTGTGGCCAAGATCAAGCCGGTTGTCAGCATGGCCCAGACACTCTAAAGACCAGTGTACAGAGTAGTCCGCCAAAGCTAGGAGATACTGTAGTAGCTGACAGTACCAAGCAAACTGTGGCACAGGAGTGAGACTTGACTTTATCCCCAAGTACGGATAAAGCTTTTGAAAGCAAATGGTAGGAGAGAGAACAATCCTAGATATCACAGAATTATTTTTGCTTAAACAAAAGAGAAATATATATATATGTCAAATGTACAGAGATATTTTTTATGCTGTAACATTAATTAAAGACTGAACTTTAAGGTGAAAAAAACAACAAAAAATATGCAAATTTACAAATTACTAACTGTTCTTTAATTACTGGCAAATGATCCACACATCACCTTTTAAAATTGTATAACCTGCATTTCAGGCAAAAATTACAAGTTCGTAATCATCGTACCGTACATTAATCTGTTATGCCTTTGCCTCAGACAGTTTAGATATTAAATTCTGTCTTTATACAAACCAGTGTGAGAGGCAGCACACAAGTTTGTAGTTGGTCTGAACGACGCTGGTCTGAATCTTTGATTGTTTATATTGCAGGCAATGCACCATTTATGACTGCTGCAAGTCAGTAATATGTGCCACCTTTTACTGTCGGTCCTGAAAGTATTCTGGTGCCCGGTATCCCAGAAGCCCATTTAAGGCTACATCTTGATAGTATTGGCTTCAACAGGGAATGGCATACATGTGGGTCTATGGGAAGCCACTTTCTAGTGGCTGTGTCCTCTCGTAATGTAGACTTGTGTGTTACTGCCAGTCTCCGCCTCCAGACAGAACTTCACATCAGGCCTGCTCACTCATACCCAGGGTTGGGGGGGGGGACCAGGAGAGTCGGTCTCGCTCCCAAACATTGTGAAGGAAATGCAAAAACCATTGTTTGCGGTCTTCATCCCAAGTCACCGGTTAAAACAACCAATCTGGGCGCATAGAATGTAGCTGCCACCAGCATCCTTTTTGTGGAACAGAGGGTACAAGTGAAGTGGGCTTGATGTGATGATGAATTCCTGTGCTCTTTGACTGGGGACATTTACATGTAATGGCTGATTGCACTTAAGTCTTAGGCTTCCTGCACTGAAATACTCATCTTCAAAAGTTTAAGCTGTGCTCTGTAAACATACTTGAGCAAGGTTGCAAGAACTGCAAAATGTTGGAGGTTGTTGAATCACTGTTAAGATTTTTCTCTAAATTTCTCTCCTTCTGGTAGCCTCACCTTGTTAAAGAAATTTTTTGGACAGAAGCAACCACTGTTCGCAAAAAACCCCCTTTTTTTTTTAGATGGCTCACAACAAGTGGGACATTCCCGCTGCCACCCTTGATCAGAGCTTGAATCATACTTTTTTTTCTCTGTGCTAAACTCGAGCTCCTGGACGGCCATTTCTGATAAGCAGTTGTTTGTCCGATTGACCGTCTTTCCTGCATTTATTTTGATATTTCCTGAGTCATCTCCTCCTCTTTCCTGTATTTAATTGATCTTTTCCTCATTTTTTTGCTACATGTGCTTGACCCCTCTGCGGCCAAGCGTGCCTGCTGCACAGCTGCCAAGCAGCTCACCTTGTAACTTTGCTAAGGATGTCGATATTGGCTTGCTGTAAATATGTTTCCTGTCCGTACATGAGGTACCTGTCACCCATAATCTTGCTGAAAAGTGTCACCCCCTCTTTTTGTGATTTCTGTTTGATTGGCTCTAGGATAGTAAAAATATATACCATGAGACCTCATGTTAAGTCCAGGTGCTTGTAGCATGGCAGCAAAGTCATGTTTTTCATGTACATGAATACAGACAAGCCATCAGATTCGCTCCTTGGCCTTGAGTTGAGGCTCGGGAGAGTGTGTTCACAAGCAAAATTGCAGTTAACAGAATTGTAGTTGAGCTGCCATAGGTGCTTGTAACTTACACCGAGTAAAGGTACTGAGATCACTCGAAGAGTTTTCACTGCATAGTTTTTCCCACTGCCTTTGTTTAGAGAAATGTATGTAAAATGGTCACACAAGAGATGGGATATCCTATAATGAGTTCACCACTGAGGAGTTTTATGCTGTTGGTAATTTTCGTTAACCTTGTTTCTGAGTGTTTTTTTTTTATGTGGGGTATTTAACACGTCTGTGCGCTCACAGGCAGAGGGAAATGGGAAAGTTTACTGTGAAATGTAGCAGTTATGACATTATCTAGTAGACTTAACCAAGACGATGTGTACAAAACATGATGAACCTGTAATGATGACGTCATTTACTAATAATGGCAGTGTTTTCTACAGAGTTTTTGTTTTCCACCTACACTTCAAATTTTGATAAAGTTTCTGGCAGCAGTAATTTGAAATAAGAAAAAATTAAAAATTAATTACATATATATATATATATGTATGTATGTGTACTTGACTTGCCTGTATTTCTGATTTTAAGTTAAATGTTGGAAAGGTAGCTTTTTAGATGTGTAGAGGGTTCCATCTCAGTAAAAATTAAGTATCTGTATATATGATTTTCAGTTTTCTTCCTTTTTTTCCTTTTCTGATTTGCAAGTTAAACGGCATGCCAAATTTGTAGTTATTCCACCGTGCTTACTTCTTAAGTGTAGTCGTCGCTTCTCTCCAGTAGTCAGACTGATGGTCAATTCTGCCTGAATGCTCAGGATCTTTTGTGATAGATTCTTACTTGACTACACAGCTGCATTATATCCTTGTTTTGTTTACAACATTATGCAAAAGAACAAAATACTGGCTTCAAGGTATGTTGCCGTTTGTGTTCACTGTACATTACCATGAAAATTATTTTTGTTATGTACATTTTATTTAGGTTTAATCTACGCATGTACATTGTCCGTTTTATTTTCTTTTTTTCCTTTTTTTATGAAGCTCAGCACGCAAATTGCGTGTGCGTGGGCACACACGAATGTGTGATTTTATTTCACAATGCATACATTGTGCATAAGTATATATACTGTAATATAAACTATTCATATATAGAACTATATGTCATTTCATATACGTAAAAGAAATCAAGACAAATTTTAACTTTTTACTCAGCAGGCTTGGTTTTTCCTTTTGAAATAGATATACGAAAAGAATCAAAAGTCCCCAAAAGAAAAAACTTGCACTGTTTGAAATTGTATTGTTATCAGGAAAAGAAGGAAAACAAGAACATTTGAAGTTAAGAAAAGTGTTTGTACAACTATTATTTAATAATAAAAGTAACATGCATGGAACAGCCGTATACATGTAAAGAAAAAGAGGAGTTCGTTGTCTGATCTGTTCTTGTTGCTGACATTTTTCTTCCGCAATGCCAAGGAAACCTTTATGACATTTCTTTGCTTAAAGTACAGCTGTACATGCTTGTGAAAACACTGTCCCTGTTGCATTCAAGTACATGAAGTGGCCACTCCATCCTCAGCACACATTTGTTTCCTGGCATGACATCATGAGTTATTAAGTCGAAAAATTGTCAAACTAATCCAAATTTTAAATGGGTGGAATTTTGTTTTGGTTATCAAACGAACCTCGTTCTTGAACCGGTCGTTCTTTGACCAGTTGTGTGTTGCCCTATCAGACCCCGTCAAACTCTTCAAAACTTAGTTTCATCAATAAGCTGACTTACCAATTCAAGGGGGATTTGTAATTGCCATAAGTTCTCGAAAGCTCTTGACAAATTTCCGTCACTCGTGATATATGCATTTATTACAGAACTGAACTGTACCCGAAGATTCTGTGCCATTGGAAAGCTCTTGGTCAGCATAATCCAGAAATGAAAAAAAAATTGTCATTTACTATACTTGGTCTGACTTGATGCTCATTTTATGGGGACAGCCAGGCCCTTTCGATTCATGATAAATGGCCATCATATTGGTCTATTACTTTTACTTAATTTTATTTAATTTTCCCAATTAATCTTTGGTTTCTTGTGTTGGTAGCAGTGGAGATTAATATTGGGAGTTTTCCCAAAGAGTTGCGAAATCTGGGGAAACTCACCTGTCTGGTATAACTGTTGGTATATAACGTTTCGGCAATCATGAAAACACACATCCCAGCTTTCATTAGTGGTTAACCACATCCGTTTTTTCTGTATTTTTGTTCAATATTTGCCAGGGGCGGTTTGCAAAATGGCACGTACCAGGGTGAACGCATCAAAGGTGTTTTATGTACTGATCAGTTTTGACCTGGATAAAATCCCTTCTGAGGTACTTGCCACAGTGTCTACAAACGACACCCTCATAGCTCCATGCTTGAATCTGCTTAGAACAACTCGGACCAAGTACGACAAGGGGCTGTTGAATTACTCATATCTTTTCAACCGTGCCCAAAAAGTACGGAAGCGTCTAATGACCATACATATACAGCGTTAACGAGATAATTTATGATGGAAACACATGAAAAATTGTCGTACAAGACAGAATTCACTCATGTTAATTCTCGGAAAGACATTGATTCCGAGTAATCGCACCTTTGAAAGACAGCATTGACCGATCTGAAATCTCGGAACGGCATGATTCCAACTTATAGCATCTTGGAAAGAGGGAATTCACCGATATGAAATCGTGGAAAGACAGGATTCTGAGTTATATCTTTGAAATCCTTGTTTCCACGATAATGTATAAATGAATTATGCATACGAAGATGTGATAAATAGTGTTAGCGAGTTTTCCTATCTTTAAATTCATGATTTCCGAGCTGTTGTATCCAGGCAGTCTATATAAACAGTTCCCAAGATGCGATAATTCGGAATCCCGTCTTTCCGAGATGTCATACTTGTGAATTCCGTCTTTCCAAGACGCGATAACTCGGAATCCTGACTTTACAAGATTTAATATCAGTGAATTCTGTGTTTCCAAGATAAGATAAATCGGAATCCTGTCTGTCCGAGATTTCTACGGTGAATACTGTCTTTCAAAAGATACGGTAACACGGAATCCTCTCTTTCCGAGATTTAATATCAATGAATTCTGTCTTTCCAAGATGCGATAGCTCGGAATCCTGTCTTTCCGAGATTTCGTATCAGCGAATTCTGTCTTTCCAAGACTATCCAAGATTTCATTTCAGTAAATGATGTCTTTTATGATAGTCTTTCATGTGTTCCCATCATAAACTATCTCGTTAACGCGGTAACGTGGATGGTCATATGCGTTTCGGTACAAAAGGGCTTCTGGCGCAACGGCTCCAGTCAACTGTCAGCATACTAGCTTACAACATACCATTGTTTTCGCAGCCGCCGATCTCTCATATTGAACTGCAAATGTGACATGTTGAATTGACAATCCGATTATTTAATATGTACGCAATACGCATCATCAAGATAAAACAAGAATATCTGATAACCCTTTTTGGAGGGGGGGAGTTTGGAAAGACAGTTTAGCTGAGTTCAGTGGGGTCCCTCAACCCTCTGTGCCGACAGTTTGACATTTTCACTATTAGCGGCATCAAGGAAGTAATACTCTGACTTTTGGGAGTCTGCATGGTGACGACAAGGTCACTGCTGCCGTCTGACCGACGGGCTCAGACAAGATTGATGAAGATAAACGCCTTATCTGCTACGAGAAGCCTTCAAGAATCCCCCATCTCCAAGTTAGTTAGACCAATGTGGAGGGTGCGGAGTTGTCAACTGCCCTATTTGAAGTTTGAATATAGCTTGACAAGATCAACGACCTTCGGTCCACACATTTTTGCGGTCGGTGAAACTTTTAACACATGGCAAAGGGGTAAATTTACCCTTCGTGCTAGCTATTCCATAATGTACATAATGTACAGAAGTTCCCGGATGTACGTCCGACCGAGCGAAATATCAAGGTTTGATTCTGAAATTTGAACGAACGCTGCCACCATAAAATGAGATTTATTCCACCACGAAATGAGCCACTCAAAAAGTGTCCCACTGGTTCATCGATCTTTCTAAGATGATTGCTATTTTGGAAACGTTTGAGTTTTCCATAATCCACGGAGTGATGTGTCGAGATTTATCTGTTCTCTGGTTCTCTCGTATAGTCAAATTTTTAGAACTGATCGATTTTAGCTGGTGTATTCTGTGCACGAAACATGATAGCGTCTGTCAAAATTCACAGGCAGTCTCCCTACAGACAAGGCCACATTTCACCAATTTATTCACAATCACAAAGACTTGCTAACTATACAAGTACTCAATTATGAATCACTGTCTGTGAACAGCGAACCCTGGATTTGTCGTGGACGGGGGATTTCAACCCCCCCCCCCAAAAAAATTATGCCCAAGCCCCACTCCCGTTGCGCCACAAGGGACTAGAATGTATGATTGTATTAGAACTTATAGATGTACATGCACACGTAGGTGTAAGCATATCTTCGTTTTTTAGGAAGTAAAAAAAAAACAAAACAAAAAAAAAAGGCTCAAGCACCCTCCCCCCTTGGGTATGCCACTGATTGTGACTGTCACTCAATCGATTAGATTTTTAAAACCACAGCATCAACACAAGAATATACTGAATGCAAATTTTTAGTAAAGTTTTTAATAAGTTTCTGAACACTGTAACTCTTTTATTTACACAAATTCAGTGCACAACTTTTGTAATAATTATAAACATTTGGCAACTGCACAAATATGTTTCTTCATTCAAAATTGAACATACACAAACAATAAAAATACTGAAGCACTCTTGCATGAATTTTGAAGGCCGAATATATAATGTTAATACTAACATGGGCAAGAAAGGCATGGGAAAAAAACAGAACCGGAGTGACTTGCAATATAAAACTGACTTCAATACTATTCAAGTTGCATCACTTTGAAAACCTCTCAAAGCATTTTAGAGCCAAATAAAAAATTGCTTTTTTTCTATGACAACTAGGAAGATCATCAAGAAAAGCCTAACAGAGGGAACAGTTCATTTCTACGAAAGCCAGGAGTTCTTTCACACCCATCAATTAACACTCTTAGTTTCTGTTCGGTCAAACCATCTGTGATTCTGTTTCTCCACATGTAACATCTGATTCTCCACCAATTTATTCAGTCAGCTTGAGTCAAGCCATTCAAATTAATATAAGAAGGCCACATCCATGTTGGTATGATCCCCTCATTAAGGTGTTCTGGATTTAACATCTGTATTGCACATATACAGCAAAATGACATCACACAACCTTTGCAAGTCGCATCATCCTATACATATGAAGCACCTTTGTGGGGAGCAAAGTTTCCTCACCCGCCACAGTTGTGTGGGTTTTATGCTATGCAACAAAAACCACATAGGAAAGGAAAATAACAAGTTTTAGTACTGAACATGTGTGTGAAATGTGTGCAGTGAACTGGGGCTATTTTACAAAGACTCTTGGATCACATTCAAATGTTACTGCGGGAACCAAACAAAAACACAATTTGGCTTCAAATTTTAAGCAACTGGTTTTTTTTCCCACAAAACTGGGGCTACGTTGAACCAGGGGTAGGTGGGGGGGATTTGACACTGAGGTTTGAAAAATGCCCTAGATTGGACAAGTATGTGTTTGGATCAGTTTTTTTGACTACAGGAATTTTCATTTGTGGCAGTTACATGACGTAGGCACAGCATGTGATCTGGACTGAATTTTGTGGCTCTGCTCAACACAAGGAATGAATCCTTGAGGATGCTTACTTACATCCTTCATGAGATCAGCATTTAAAGCCACTTGAAAAAAACAGAGAAAACAACATGAAAGAGGCCTGCTTGACACTTGATCGTTAGAACAATTGTGATTGATCTTGCACATGGGGTGGAAGTGAAAAATGTGCAGCCTCCTTTAGGCTACTGGGACCGGATGAGAACTTACTCATTTAGCCACAGAGGACAACATGGAGCATTCCAGGGGTTAAAAAAGAAAAAAGGTAGGAATTTCAAATTATTGAAATGGACTTCTGTGTCCAATCTACCTTCCTTTTCACACTTTACCTTCTAAAGGTGCTACAGGACCACATCTGATTTTTGTGTAAAAAAATAATTTTTGTGATTTATTGTATATGTCACACTCTTTGGAAGCAAAAGGTCACTAGAACTTTTGACAAGAAGCTAAAGTTAACTCTTTCCCTTTTTCTTTGTTTGACTTAGTGTATGGCACAGATCCAATAAGGAAACAGCTCCAGAAATAGTTACAGAAAGCTTAAGTTTTACAGAAAACCAATCAAGATGAACAGTGCCCTCATGTGTCAAGAGATAAAAACAAAACCTCAATCAGAGGGTAATAATAAAACGTAATAACTGGTAACAAAAAAAGATGGGCAATCCATTAATTTCACATCATTCAGTAGTGTGGGCATTCAAGTGTTTGAATATGCCCTTTAATCTTGACATAAGGAAAGGAAACTGTGACAGCAGTCCCTCCCACTTCTCATCTCTCATATCCTGCTTATTCATAGCTCATTGCCACACTGGCTACACAAAGCTTGGTATTCACTGGTACTCTCATCTGGCGAGCTTCACCGGTGCAACAACGTTCCCTGGCAAAGAATCTCTTTTCCCTCTCTTCCCCCCACCCTCGACACACTCATAACTTGGCAAGGTGGGATGCATGTAAACTTCTGAGGGGAAAGGGGCTGCAGCCAGACGGATCTCTTCCAAATGTCGAGTGCTTTTGTGCTTGGGTTTTGCGGGCGAGGCATCCCGGCACCAACCTGTGCCAGGGATTTTTGTTGTGGGGAAACTACTGGAAATTCATAGGTCATCAAGTTGGTTGGAGGGAGGGATTACACATTCATTTGTCCCTGGTCAAGTTTTTTGTCTCTCTAGTGCTTGCTGTGGAAGGACCGTTGGCAAATGCTGGTTGGCCAAGTTGTGTGACCATGCTGTTTTAGGGTGCCCCAGTAGTCAGTGGAAACAAGCCCCCTTTTCTCCCCTCAGCAAACTCGGGCCAAGGAACAGTAACCTGAAGTTTGAAGTGCCCCTCCCACAACCTTGCCCTGCCAGGACTTTAAGCTAACATAAGGGTAATTTTAAGTTTTAAAATAGTGAAGATCTGAAAGTCACAATTTGCAATCCTCTGTTACTTTTTCAAAAAAGTTTGATAAAGACCATCATAGTTTTAAAAATTAATGGGAGGATGAGACTTAACTTTCATTTGTAAATAAACAGCCTCAATGAAGCACAGGCACTTTTTATCCATTTTGCTATGGGCACATCAAACCCAATGACGCAAATTCAAAGCTTCAATTCAAAGACTTCCCACTTGGTTCTGATAATACCTTCAAAAAGTTCTGGGATAAGAGGTGAAACTGGTAACACAGATAAAATCTAAGAAATGTTAAATGGCTGTGTTGACATCTCTCCGTGCTCCAATTATAATTGTATATGCTGCACATTGAAATTAACAGAATTTGTGTCAAAAACAAGGTTTAAAACAGGGTTTCCATTGCAATGCCATTTTTAAGGCAAACTCACAGTAGCCGTGCTGACTTAAACACTCTCCTTCAGCATTTGATTTGGACAAGCTACAATTTTATCAGCAGACGCCTGTCACTACATCTCCAAAACATCATATATCCCCTTTTGGCAGTTCACAGGTCAAATCTGCTTTACAGGTATAACAAATGTACAGGAAACAAACATTCTTTTGTCAAAAGCCTTGAGGTCTGCTTTGGGCAACCTTGAACCTTGCCAAAAAAAATTGTCTGTGTATCACTCTTGGCAATAACTTGCTACTTCAGCAGAAAGGTGACTGAGCCTACCCATTTTTAGTTTTCATTGAAGAAAAGTTCACTGTCTAAGACCTTGTCAAACCAATCCTCTCCAAGTGTTGACTGCAAGACCTGTATGCATGGAGACAGAGCAGGGCAGAAACGGGAACAAAATAAGGAAACCATTGTCTGAAATTTTAATGATGCCATATAAAGCCAAGGAGACTTCCCACATTCATCATCGCTGTGCTATCTGTATCTCAGGATGTCTCTCTTCATCAGACATGGTCAGGCATCTAGTAACTCGAAGCACCCCCGTTTCTTTTGGAACGCTCCAATGGGAGTGATTCGCAATACAGTGCATCCTAAAACATTTGGCTCAAAGTGACACCTTCTTTGCTTTCAGGGGTTGGTATCTGTCACATGTTATTCTGCATTTAATCTTCAGTTTTTCACTGCTTCCTGCAGTATCACACAAATACAAATACACATGGAAGCCTCGCCACTTAAGTCATAGTTAGTCACTCCCAAGTTCAGTTTTAATCTTGCAAGTCCAAAAAGCTGCAGAGTTCATGCATAAAAGGAACACTGTTTAGTATTTGCCCATATGGATTTTTTCCATGATGCAATGCCTTTCCTCTGTGGAAACCTCTTAGTGGGGTACCTCTATGTGAATAACTCCTCACAGAACGCCGCACATTCATGCTGGGAGAAGGCAGTGTCAACAGCTGTTAGTGGCCAGACGGCAAGGGACAGCTAGGAAAGGGGTATTTCAACAAGATGTTCTTGGAGGGGTCCTGGGACTATCAATCCAAGGATGATAACTTCAACTGCTATGTACACTCTCAGTGTACAACTCATTTTTTTTGACGAGATTGTCTTCCTTTGACCATAGCACACATAGTCATGCATTACTTCCTTTTTCAAGGAAATTCCCACATACAATTTGAAGCAATCAGATCACTACAAGCAAAGACACAACTAACTTGGACAAAATTAAAACTACTGTGTTGCAGTCCAGTCCTTCTGCAGTTGTCAGGAGGAAGGAGATCCGTCCGCCAATTAAGGAGGGTTGGAGACGCAAAACCAGACAAAAACTGGTCTCAAGGCGACTGTGGCTTGATTCCCTTTGATTTATTTCCAGGTGCCAATCAGCAATGAAAGTGTAACCAAAAAGAAACGGAAAACCCTGGCATCTAAAAGTTTGCCGAAATAGATATGAACACTAAAGCCAATGGGAAAGGGGCTAAAGTTATCCCCAAAGGAGCCATCTTCCTGTTACCGCCAGCCCACCAAGGTGCAGGTCTCAAGCGTGGGAACTGTCATTGAGAAAAGCCCTGAAACTTCTAAAGTCCTGCCAAAATGTAATACAATGTAAGCGACTTCCGGCCGAAAGGGCGTTGCTTTGATATAACATATTAAGTCTGCAAACTGCAAGGAACCCTCATACCCATGCACTGATCTCATGCCAGAGATCGGTAGGACAGAATTCATATTCACATTAAAAGTAATTATCTCACCAAGGATCTCCCCTGACCCCTACAACTACAACAGTGCAAAGTGATAAAACCAAGCTTTCTCACATATTCATAATATACTTTATAACTTGCATTGTAATGATTAAAAAATATGCCTTTTGGCAAATGCATACCCGTCGGCTTGGGGGAGGGGAAGCACTTCAGCCTCAGAAGACAAGTTTCCCTGACACCATCTTTTTAACAGGAAGTGAATACTTTCTACAGGACGACCCATAAAAAAATGCAACAGTTGCAAAAAACTGTCATTGTGAAAATCTATTTTAGACACATAAAACTGGTATCATAAAATGCACCTGGGCTTAAACTTTGTTTGGGTACCACTTGTGAGTTGATTACTTTCTGTATGACTGGGCAATGAATATTTCCCTGATGTGATGTTAAATAGCTGCTGCATGTTAGAAGCTATGAACAGTGAAAACTGGTCCTCAACTTACCTTTGAAAACAAGCCTTTCATAAATGTTTATTCAACAGGAAAAAAATCCTTATTCATCTTTTAAAGTTGTAAAACAGCCTTTATACCCTGTCTATTGCCTTGTCGTGTGGCCAATAGATCAATCCAGTAACTCAGTAAGCCCCGCCCACTATTAACATGGGCACATAACATGTATTCTTCTCCAATGCCATACCACATGTTTCAGCCACATGCATCATACGTGCGCGGATGCATGTCAGACTTTTGTGCACGCATGCCGGACACAAATCATGGTTGTGATTGGTCAGAACACAATCAGGTGAGGCTTAATGGATCGGTCTAGTCTCCAATGCCTTCCACATGTCTACCGCCTCGGTTGATGTTCACCTGTCGGTTGATGTTCACCTTTATCTGGGGCTAGGGTGCGTATTATCTGTTACTGCTAGTCTAATTAGATCTTCAGATTTCAGCATAGTCCATCTTTCGCAGCTTCCACGTACATCTGCATTTCAGGAGGGTTATCCCACAGGAAGAAGTCACACAGCACGAGGTCAAGTAAGAGCAGTGGCCATCTGCGTCTCAATTAGCACGACCACCCGATTGCGAAAAAGTTTATGGAGTCGTTCATGAAAAACTGTCCATCCATGTGGTGAGCATCACCTTGTACCCACCAAACGCAGCAATTAAGCAATGGGACGAATCTCATTGAGTTCTAACCACTACTCGCCAGCAATTAAGCAATGGGACAGATCTCATTGAGCTCTAATCACTACTCACCAGCAATTAAGCAATGTGACGAATCTCATTGAGCTCTAATCACTACTCGCCAGCAATTAAGCAATGGGACGAATCTCATTGAGCTCTAACCACTACTCGCCAGCAATTAAGCAATGGGACGAATCTCATTGAACTCTAATCACTACTCGCCAGCAATTAAGCAATGGGACGAATCTCATTGAGCTCTAACCACTACTCGCCAGCAAAACGTGCAACAATTGTTATTTTACATCACCTCACTTAAACTGTCATTGCTCATTCAAGCAAAAAGGAATCAAACTACAGTTGGTTTCTAAATGAAGCACAAGCGTAGCCCATTTTATGATGCCAAATTTATGTATTTGTATTGTGGATTCTCATAGTCACAGTTTTTGTAACTGCTGTGTTTTGTGGGACACCCTGTAGAGTAAAAAGAAAAACTACAGTTCCACACTTAATTCCCCACCAAGTGTTTGATATGAGTTCAGCGCTTTCCAAAGTTTTCTTTTAGACATAACTCTAGCCAAATACTGATGTTAGTTGCGACAAATGCTAATTATGCTCTCCAATTGGAAAAAACGGAAACAGCCCATTCTGAAGCCCAAATGTTCCGGATGGAATTATAACTCCATTTTTCGATGAGTAACTGCAGGTGCCTCCCTGTGAGTAATCACGGTCCATATTGATTGGAAAGATGGAAAAAAAATATGACAACAACTGATTTAATTCACTTGCAGACAAACCACTCTTTACCGGGATCGGTGTAATGAAAGTGAGTAATCAAACAGTCTTATCAGGACCACTGATAATTAAGGCCGCGTCCGAAACGGGCTTCCAGAGCTATGGCTAGGTCTATTGTCTACGCGTCTCCACGCATTTCCAATGGAGTGAAGACCTAGACCTAGCACTAGACAAGAGATTCGGATGCAGCCTGAGTTATGCGCGGACAACTGCCATTAACAAACCATCCATCAATATCTATGAGAGATTTCAAAACAGTTTAGCCATGACAATGTGAAAAGGATGGCAACAGACACCTCACTGAAGTTGAGTGTCCCGTCTGCCAACATATCTCATTTGTACAAGGTCTTCTGCAGGTCGCAAGCCAATACAGTCATTCTAACCGTCCACTGAACACTAAATGTGTCTGCGGTAAACGCAGCGTTTGAACTGTGAGAGAATTCCATGATAAAAGGACACCACGTTCCCTCGTCCCCCTCCCTCCGTGTTGTTTCAAGAGATACTTGAATGGTATCAGTGGCTGTTTATGTAATGCTAGCACTGACATGAAGCTAGCTATGACAGATTTTGTTCACATTACAATGAAATTGTTTGCGTAGTTCAACTCAAGCATGTCCCACACAGTGGAGCTCTGACGTCTGGTTACCAGGAGTGTAGTTGAGGCCATCGCAAGTCCAGTCACAAGTCATGTCCTAAGTAATAGGATGAACAGCGTTAACAATGAGTTGAACATCTTCAGGCTTAGCTTAAAACTTGACGACCTGTAGTAGGGGTTAGGACTTGTGACAGACTTAACTACAACCCCAGTGGTCAGGCTGCGTCATGTTCTGTTTCTCCACGGGAGTCCACAAACAGCTTCACGGCCAACCTCTGTTCCGTCTTTTGAGATGAACCCCAAAGTTGCTCTTCCGCACTGCACACAAATTCCCATACATCAAAGTACACACTCAGAACTGCACGTCCTTACAACCATATGCACTACATGCTCTGACCCATGACACAGGCAGAACAAACAAGACCCACATGCCCTGTGTGTGAAATATCCAATGATTAGAAGTCCCTCAGTGACATACATGTAGGAAACCTTTTGAGTGGCACATCAGTGTATTTTGGTAACAATTCCAAGAGCTTAACTGGCCAAGTGCCAATTCTGCAAATTTCTTTATTAATGTCTACTGGGAATCCATTACTGTCTACAGAGCTTTACAATAAATCTCACGTCGACTATTTTTTCCTCTAGATTCCAAGAACATGAGCACTTAAATCTAAATGCAGGATGTCACAGAAGCCAACCTGTGGATAGTAAGGGCTACATGCGTCAAAGAGAAATTCTGCTTTGTCACCTAGCAACAATGCCCCGTGAGACCCAAAAGCTGTGTGCAAATGCTTGTTTCTATAAATGTTGGGCACGGTGTACGCATGATTCGATTGTTTAACCTGGGGGGAGGGGGCTGTATGGGAACCTGACGTACAGCAGGTAAGGGTACTTAAGGGTTGATCCAACCTCTCTCTGTCAACAGTGAGGACATACTTGTGTCCACTGCACAGAATCCTTAGATCAATCCCAGGACAAGATTGTCACACCTCAGGCCCTAGTAATGGCAGAAATGTTGGCTTCACAAAGTAAGGCCGAGCTGTTCTGAACATGCGCTGGCTGCATGTTTCCACCACAGCTGATGGGGCGAGGTGGAAGATGCAGATTGCAGATGTGTCCTTTCTAGAAATTCACAAGCCAGGCGTAGTCTCAGTGAACAAACCCTGTGTAATTCTGACTATGGCACTGACTCAGCCCAAAGATTACAAATATATGCATGCGCAGTGCTTCGGAATCCAATCTATCACTTGACACATCCCTCAGCTGGTTCTTGTTAAAACACAAATTGTGACAGGGAAAAAGACTTCTACGGGGAAGTGTCTATTAGTCTTTTTTTATCCAAGTCACATTTCATCAATACTTTGCTGTGGGTATTCCTGGGTGACAGCAAACGATCAAATGGCCTTGCACTTTTTGAACCTCAGAATGTAAAATTTTACAGTAACAAAATGATCTTGCACGGTGGTATTCAGGATATGCTTCAAGAGCTGATTTATTCCACTTTTGAAGAGGGATTCTGATATTTTTGTCTTCTCTATATCTCTACAGATGAAAATACAGATACCTTCAGAATATCACTCGCATTGTCACTAAAGCTACTGTGCCCCAGCGAAGGTTACGTGTACATAAGTGTACAGATGTTGTGAACTGTGGCTAAGACTGAAAATGTAGACGGAAGTGGTAAGCATACATTACCTCGACTGACTGGAATGAATCTGTAATTGATGACCCTGCCATTGCCTCTTCCCCTACGGGGGCTGGTTGGGATGTCTCCAAAGAATTGGTTGCATTGTTGCCCTCGAAGAAGTCCAACTCTGAGAACTCAGTGAAGTCATCCTGATGTGTCAGACAAAAAAATTAAAACAACCAAAGCAAAATTCACAAAAGGATTATCTTTTTAAAAAAATCAGTAAATAATCATAAAACAAGACACTTTTGAAACATGGAGATTGTGCTTGCAATTTTGAAATCCTGCAGGTGCAGACACCGTGTCTTGATTAACACAAAGGTTGTCATTTGACATTCACTGCTTTTATGTTCAGAACACTTCACAAAGAAAAGACTACAAATGCACTCTTTGTTATGCCGCAATTAGAGAGTTCTGGCTGTGGCTAAAAATAATACAAGCGCCTATGGCAGCCGCTGCTTAGTGGCTGAGCCATTCCCCATACATGTGTCAGTTACTTTCAGTCACAGCAACTACTTTCTGACACACCTTAGAAGTACCAAAAACTAGTGTACAGAAATAATTTTGTACAAAAATCTTAAATTGTTTGACTATTATACATGTATATCACATGAGGTCTTGTGACTGTAAAATCAATTGCCCTTAACTAAAACCTTTATTGTTTTGGCCAGAAATCTTGCTCAATGAGACAACATGTATTGGTTATTTACAAGAGATACAACCAGATCTAACATGTCAAACCCAAGGCCAAACAGCATCAAAGTCTGAGGCAAGTGAGGATCCAACAGAGACACTGTTTAACGAGACTGGGCTCCTGCTGTCTCTGTATTGACAGTTATGCTGTTGACTCTTTGATGCAACAAGGCCCCACAGATTTGGACACCTATTTTTATGTTCAGCAGCGTAAAGATGAAGGCTGAAAGCAGCCTGACAAATCACACAACACAGAGCTACAATTCCATAAGCCTGGCCCGCTTAACACTGGCTCTTTGTCTGAGGAAGGCAGAAGCTCTTGGCAATGAACCAGGAGCTTGTTGCCTGTGAACTAAACCACAGATCCCTGATCGTGATTCAGATCCGTGTGAAACAAACAGGTCCTAACATTAGCCAGCAGATGCCCATGGATCAAATCCCACAAAATCCTACACAACTTACATGTACCTCAAAGCTAACACCCTCTGCTCCTATGGACTGACTGAGGGGTGTACGCTGCCCGTCCTGCTGGCTAGAGGCTGATTGGGAGCTGGTAGACAGCTTCTTAGAAGACTATGAAAGATGACATGAGATACATAAAAGCCTTTTCAGGAGGAAAGCCTTTAAAATCCATTTTTACATGAAAGGAAAAGGGTAAGGATGTGTGTACAAGCATGAATATCAAGGATAAGAAAGCAGAATCTGAGAACTGTTGTAATTTGCAAGCAACATCCAGGAAGTAGTGTTTAGTCACAACAAAACCAAGGAAAAACATTTTGAGATGATGTTCCATATATGCATGAGTGAAATGATGGAACTGCAGCTATGCAAGATGAGCAGTCTGCAGTTATTCTGGGAATCAGGTGGACAGTGGGCAAATAAAACCTAGTTGGAAAAGAAGAGAGTATCACAAATGGGCAAGGAACAGGCTCAAAACTGTCCCAATATGAAGGAAATTCCGTGCAACTCCGAAACAGAAGAAGATGGCAATGTAAACTCCGACCAACAGTCAGAGTTGGTGAACTGAACATCAAGCCTTGCACCCAGTTACCTCGAGAGTTGAAGTCGCAGCAGGCAGTGTGACTCCCATGTGTTGGTGAGCGATGGAATGCAGCTGGGAGGAGAGACTGGATACCAAACCAGTTGAGTTTGGTACCTACACAGTCATACAGTAATAAGGAAAAGTACATTGGTATTATCTGAAAGGTGCATGTGCTTCAAGTGATGATAACATATACAAAGGGTTTTTATGTCAATGAAAAACTGTGCATGTAGCAGAGGAATGAGGGAGAGGCTGATCAAAAGTAAGGTTAAATGTGGAGAGGGGAACAATAAATGAAGATGCTGAGAAAACCTGAACTCATCCGTACTTTTCACCCACCTTCAGGAGTGAGAAACACTTCTGTCTGAATTCATCATTGGAGCTGTGACTCACAATTGTGGAGACAGCCTCAGTGATGTTGGCAACAGAGCATCGGATGTTGTCCTCCTTTGCCTTTAAATTCTAAGGCAAACAAATCAGTGAACACAAACAATTTTATGCTGAAATGTTCACACCAGAGGAAATGCTTGATGCTGCCTTATCACGAATTCCTTTCAAAGAACAATTTACAATCGACAGGAAAATTCACTCTACACATTTTTTTTCAACGAAGGCTCATTTATGAGATTGCATTCTCTTATTATTCACTGCTGTGTTGCACACAATCCTGTAAAACAGACGGAAACAAAGAAAGTACAGTATAAACATACATATTGACATGTATGGCATGATTTTAAGAATTTAATTGGGACAATGTTTCACCACACTACTACCCTTGAGCTATAAGGTTCCTCATTCTACCTACTGTGGAGTTCCACAACTCAAGGGGTACTCTCCTACTTTCAGCCCAGCACCATTTCTAAAACACAAATCTGAAAGTTTTTTGACGGAGTGAGAACCACCCATTTGACGAC